GGGGGGGTCAGAGGCCCCTTCCGCACTTCCAACAGCCCTACTTCTGGTGTCCTTGCTTGAATTGAACCCATCTTCGAACCTCCATTTTGATCTCGACCACACACCTGTAAAGTTTTGTGATTGCATATTGCACGGTTGTGACACTCTTGCGTTGAAAAAAAATCTTTCCATAGACATATAAACACCTGTTCTCTGCCATGTTGACACACAAACACACACACACCAACACACACACGGACTCACAAGGTGAAAACAATACCAGTCACACGCTGCCTTAGCTGCTCAAGATTATTTTCATTTTGGTTATAATCTTGATTAATGGATTCATCTTTTAATCTATGAAATGCCAAAAAATGCTTTTCACAATTTGTGTTTTGGGTAAATGTAGGTCAGTGGGAGTTTGTAATTTGATAAATGAATAGTCTTGGGTGAAGAGAATAAACAAAGCTGTCTTTTTACAGCCCAGAATGAAGTCTGGACAACAAACATATTCACGTGAGAATAAAACGTTTGTTCTTTTATTCTTGATATTTGTGATTGAAGGAATAAGCACCCGATGTCTTGCTGCTGTGAGCCCTACATTTTGTGTACAATATTGCTGATCAATGGGTATTGATTAGTGGATACAGACACTGTTCTGAATATCAGGTACCCAGAAGGAGCTTGGAAAGACTTGGGCCAATGTGTTAGATCTCTGAGTTGCATTGGATTCACTCTCACATAAGAAGGTCCAAAGATAAAAGTGTCAATTCTACCATGAAAACACATTAATTAAAAAACCAGCCAATTGATAAAGTATCATGAGAAAATGAGGCACCTTGCCAAAAAGAAAGAAATCATTCCATAGGGCACGCGCTAATTCTCTCCCACAATATTGGAACATGCTATCCTGTGCGATATCTCCATCTTTTGAAGTATTTCTCCACCACAAACTGCTAATATTGCGCGTGTGTGCACTTCAGAGAGCGGCAGTCAGCTGTGCGCAAAATCACCTGAGCAAACAACCCGCGTCGTTACCTCCACGGACCGCATCTCAAGCAGCACGAGACGAGACACGACAAAACACGCTTGCGTAATTACACTAAAATACACAACTCACGTCTCTGAAGCGATTCCAGTGCTTCATCTTACGCCCGTACTGGGAGATGGTTGACAGCCATTGCTCATCTTCCATGAAATTCCCGGCTTTTCCTGCCTCTTTCCCACTTTTCACGTCCACCTGGAGCGAGAAGCCCACCAGCAGGCACAGGCACGCGACGATTCTTAAAACGACCATGTTGCTCGGGCAGTTTGGTCTGGGCTGTATCTCCTATACTGCTGCTGCTGTCCTCTTGCCAAGGATCCTCATACACGACTGCTGCTGCTTCCACAGACTGAAGAGAAATGAGAAAGCGAAAGTGGGGGAGAGAGAGAGGAGAGGAGAGGAGAGGAGAGGAGAGGAGAGGGAGGAAGAGTTAAAGGAACAATTAGATCCTGCACTAATCATTTATTTCTGCTTATTTGGTTTCATTACTTCACTGACTTTTTTGTTCTTTGTTTCTGTTTGTAAGCAGCCCCACCAAGGCAAATTAGGTTAGATTTAGCTTAAAATGTGCGTGATATTGTTCTTCATTTCTTCATTAGCAGCACAGAAAGAGATTGTGTTAGAGTGACTCAGATCAGCAGTGTCTGATTAGCATCTTACTTGGAAATCTTATATATATATATATATATATATATATATATATGGAGGAGGTACCTGGAACAAACCTTTATCGTGGTTCTGTAGTCTAAACTTTATCAGAGCTATTTTTGTGTGAATTATTTTGGGAACTGCTCATGCTAATACGATATCAAAATGTGAATCCAACATTCTTCTTGAATCTTCTTTTAAAGCAGTTTGTTCCGGTAGCCTACTTCAGCAGCAACATCACAGGAAAATAATCAAATCCAACACAAATGCAACTATTTTTATTCAATCTCTTCATTTGGAGGTTTCAATGCATTCTAAAGACCAAATGCAAAAGGAAGAACCATGCTTTTTCCATAAGAAATGACATAATGACAGGACTACAGTTGACAAAAAGACATTCCCCCACAACTAATGATTGTTTTCATTATCAATTAATCTGCTGATCTATAAACTGTCAGAAAATACAGAAAGATTCCCAATTGACTGCAATTTCCTAAAGCCCAAGGATATGTCTTCAACTGTCCTGTTCCATACCTTCCTACCACCATAATGAAGTCATACCACGGCCTATTATGGCCCTGCAGTGTCAAACTATACCTCTAAGGCTCTTGTTATGAGCTGATATTGAGCTTTATCAGTGCATATAAGCAAAACAAATTTTCAATTAAATTAGCACAAAACCGTTGACACATAATTAGCCTGGAGCTTTTGGGGGCAGTCGCCTCCTTTTCCCACTTGGTAGTCCAACCTCGGTCACACTACCTGCTTCAAATCCTTGTAAATACGATTTCAAGGTCCAAGGCAGACACTTGGAAACATACATGGATGACAATTTTATACAAGGTGTAGGACAATTTCTCCAGAAGTGGCACTGCCTTTGATTCAGGGAACCTCTCTGGAAATTCAACATTTCTTACCGTATGTATAAAAGCATTCAAATCAACTCAGGGTGGTGGTATTTTTTTGTATTTTCTATGTTGGCTGCTTAAGTACATTAAAGAGGTGATCATTTATGACCATTTCATTCTTCACTTCTCCCAAAAAATAAGACCGAATATGATAGAACTTAAGTGATACATCAAACAGAGAACTGTCTCATGGGTCGACACATTTCCCTGTAAATCAGCAAAACATAAGCCTTGGGTTTTTGACATCAAAACCTTGAGTCCTTGACGAAAATATGAAAAAACATTTTTCATGCTCTTGAACAATGATTGTCTGCACAACACTATGAACTAAGGATGGATCTGTGAGGCCGTTAGATGTCTGATAAGGCCTATTAAAGCTGCTGCTGTCATGCTACTCTTTCTTCAAGAAGACTTTTGCTGCACATCATCTTTTAGTCCGCCCACGTTATTCCTGTTGCTCCCTCAACTCTCCATGCCCTCGCTCCCTCCGTTCTCCATTTCATCCCCATGAAGATAAACGTAATCCGGCACCCTGCTCAGATTCTTTAGGGTTTAAGGTTACCAATATCGGCCCGAGGCCGAAGTATAGCCAGGGGCAGGATGGCGTTCCTGTGATGCTGGCCGAACTGACTCCGACACTGGCATCGAAACAGTCGATGTGGCAGATGCTGGCCTTCATGAGCGCGCGGAGCTACAGGATCGGAAAGCAAGGGCAGCATGTAGAAACGTCCCGCAGCGTCAGCCAGCTGTGCACGTCAACCGTACGAGGTGCTGGACATCAAGAGGTCGTCATCAGTCATGTCACGCTCAGGGTGAATGTGCTGCAGAATAATGGTCACGCAGCTGAGCTGGGAAGCATTTAAAGACTGTGTTCTGCATTGCACCATTAGCTTTTAAAGATTGTTTGAGAGCTGAGATGTTATGAGGAAGCCTGTTTCTGTGTCTCTGGTCTCCTGAGGAAAATCTCACATGTGCCAGAACAGCAAATGGAAAACATGTTGATGAAAGCGTTGAGTGGTTCATCTCTTAAGATGGTAATGTTTAAGGATGAGAATACTCAAAGGATCTCTTTTCTTTCTTTTTTTTAAACTGCAGACAGCTTTTATGAGCTCGGCTCTTCCGCTCCATCAATATCTGAAGTAGCAGCACAGTGACCAGGAACCCTGTAGGACTAGTGATCACACAGCGAGCCATTTTCATGCTTACAGTACATTAGGTACAGGCAAAAAGGATTTTCTAGCATGTTCGTGCTTCGCTGATCACGTTGAATTCTCAGTCAGATCAATGTCTCTGCCAGATTAATCATTTCAGCCGTGATTTGGTCCCTCCATCACTTTAATTGCAGCAGTACCAATCAGTCTAAATGCCCAATTCAAATCACACCGGTTTACTTGGATTTCACAAGTCAATCTTGTGGTGAAAAACCTCAGATGAGAGACCAAGTGTGCACACATCCAGGCAAAGATACAAAGAGATGAAAAATGACTTCACTGCAGGGCATAAAGGAGCTCTGCACACCGTTTGGCTGTATTTCTCTTTTCAAGGCAATGTTTGGATCTGTAAGATGTTCTTCAGTATCAACTATTCATTTGGAGCCCAACTTGGTGTGCAGACATTATTTGTGCCCTGCAGAAATAAACCTCAGATGCCGTGAGCACTTTGACAGCCCCTCTGTGGCTGAGAGGCATGTGATGTTGCTGTTGAATGGAGAAATAGTGTTTATTTGTTTAAATTATGAGATGCTCAAATGTACGTGCGGAGAACTGGGATAAAGACACATTCATCTTTGCACACACTGTCTCTTATTACTGGTAGGTTTCATTTATATAGCACAATTTCTAGGGGCAGTTCATGTTTACCACATACAATGTAACTTTAGAGCTGTTATAGTAATTATTTCTGTAGGTCACCTCACAAAAACTTGTGCAGACAAGTGTCTGCTTTTATTTGAATTTCCATTCTTCATAACTGTAGCTATGCGAGGAGATGACTTCCCCTTTCTTTATCCCACCTCTCATCGATCGACTGTTGCTCCAACCAGCCGTCAGCTGCTCTACACCAGAGACCAGACCTTGAACCACGGAGGCCGGATCAGAACGCCCAGCTACATCAGCTTAATCACTGAAATGAGTGTGTACACATTGTCACGTTATAACAATCCCTTAATCTAATATTTTAAGAGTGGAAGCACCTCCACAGAACATCTTCTTTTACACATCAGAGTCACGGCGTGGAAGAGTGCCTTTAATTGTAAAGGGGATTAACTGATGCCATCAGTTCGCCGTGTCGTTGATAAAAACACATCGAAACCAGAGCGTGATCGGTTTACACAAAAAGAGTTGAGAACAACATCAGACAAAGACGGCAAGCAGTAGAATCTGAAGGGTTGCTTATCTGTAAATATTTGCTGTAAACACGTCCCTTTGCTGTCTTACAAATAGCTCACGAGGCTCAACGCGAGCTCCGCTGCTTATCAGGGCTGTGCATATTCCCACGTTGTAACAACTCCGCGCGGATCGCTTCAGGAAATCCTGGTACACAGCAGTTAATTGCAACAGGATAAGGCTGGATGCTTTACACATTTATTTATTTAGTCCTGTATTTAAACAGAATGTTACAATGAGGCAACTCCATGTTCCAGCCGACTATAGTAAAATATTCAGCAACGACAACCCCACAGTGATTTACGGTCAACTGAGTTTCTTCATCAGCCAGCCACACTGAACACGTCTCATCCTGCTGCCATGTTCATCCGTGACCTGCAACACACAGTCAGTGATCAATATTTGTACTTCAAAGCACCCCGGGGCTGCAAATAATGAGTATTCTCATCTACAATCAATTATTTAGTCTACAAAATGTCAGAAAATAGTGAAAAATGTTCAAGGTGACATCTTCATATTGGTTTGATTTGCCAAACAGACCATAAACAAAATGATGTTGCAATTTAAAATGATATTAAACTAACTAAAGCAGAAAATCCTCACATTTGAGAAGCTGGATTCAGTGAATGTTTGACATGTTTGTTTGATAAATGTCTAAAACAATCAATCAATCATAATTGTTGATTCAATTTCTGTCGATCAACTAATCGAAAAATCGAATACTAATGAGTTTACATTGATTCAGTCAGGATATTAAGGCAAAGACAAACACTAATACAATCAATGGACTTATTAAAACTGTATTTATTAATGTTGGTGCCTTCCGTGTATTGTGCTGCATTGAGTCACATCTTTTGTATTCTGTTTCGTAATATATTTGTTGTTCCATCCGTGTGTTGTTATTTGTCAGCATGTACATTAAGCCGTTAAACACTGAAGTTCTGCTTCTGCACTTCTTCTTCTACAAGAAGCCACCGCGGCCTCTTTGTGGAGCCGTTACTGCCTGTGACCGGAGGCTGCCGCTGCAAAGTGTCCATAAAGAAATATGTAGCCTGAGAGCAAGTTCCTGGATAGGAGAACCATCACGAGGAGAGAATAAACCACATCGAGAGGCATTTTATACGTAATCTCGAGTGACTTACAGCTGTAAGTGGAGCCGCTCTAAATGCGCATAGATCTAATTCAATTGGACTCAAACTGGGTCACACAGCTATTAAAAGTGCAAAGTTAGTTCGAGAGCAGTCTGAAGGCAGTTTGCGTTTGCCAGGAAAGTGTAGCTGCTGGTTTTGCACTCGCGGGCAGCTGCAGCACGGGTTAAACAGAGTGCAGCACCCTTTTCAATTAAATGCACAGAAGCTGGCTAATATTCTGAACTCATGACATGCTCAGTCGATGAGTTATTTTCAGTCTGCATATCCAGCTTATACCAACAACTATACATGACTACACTACTCCGTTCCTTCCAATAAGAAACAGCGTTAGGTGCTGTGTGACAGCACCTAACGCTGTACAAGAGGACAGAAACACGACTCCAAATGAATAATGCTGCTCCTTGTTTGGCTGCATCTGGAAATAATGGGAACTGTTTGCTAACACAACAACAACGTTGTAAGGTGATAATATGTCAGTGTTGGGTTTACAGCTTCTTCTTCTTCTTCTGCCCCAAAGCAGACAGAGAAATCAATCTGTGCTGCTTTAATGTCTGGACTGACTAAATGAATTTGAAATTGAAAGGCTGCCATCCTGCCTCTACAGTCTGTAAGTTGGCGCTGATATACAAACTGATTTCATGGTTAATCATTTAAGCAAATTATAGATAAAATATGGCAAACATTCAGTAGTTCCAGCTACTGAAACGTGAGGATTTGTTGCTTTTCTATCATTGTAAATTGAATATCTTTCGATTGACAAAACAAGCGATTTCAAGAAATGATCTTAAATTGTTGAGAGCATTTTTTTCAGTATTTTCTGACATTTTATACGTTTCACAATTATCAACAAAAGTAATGGAGATGAATGGAGAATAATAAAATAAATAGCTGCAGCTCTATTTAAAAACGCTCCCAGTGCAAAGTGTACATAAAGTAAACAGCAGCCCAGGATGACTACCTGCTGTTCAAACACCCGGGCTTTGTGCCGCTCTCCTCCCTGTGTGAATGCAGTAAACAGACGTGGACAGCTGCAGGCAGCCTTCTTCAGACTCAGCCCTCTGAATGATAAAGAGCTGCTGCTGCAGCGATCACCTGCCTCCTCGCTGGAGACACAGATTAGACATTTCAAATACTCTCGCCTCGGCTGTCCGTCAAGGCCGTCCGTGCCCATTAGTGACAGAGTTAACGGTGTGACATTCAAACGGCGGCGAACACTCAGCTGGAGAGGCGCATCCTAACATGAGAGAGCAGTGAAGGGAAGGGCTCGCTGTCATATTTCACCGCTAACAATATCCAATTTGAGAGATTCGTCGGCTTTGTCTTGCAGGATCATTTATGGAGCACCTTTTGTAACTTCTTTTTGATCGATCAAAAGACCCTCTTGAAACAATCTTAGGATTCCAGCTTGTTAACGGGGAAACATGACACCAGGAGTGCGAGGCGACCTACTGAAATGTCATCTTAGTGCTTCCTTGCCGTCAAGTTCACCCTTTCAGTTAACTGGATTCGGATCAGAATATTCCATGAAGCTGATCAACATTGGCGCTTAAAAAAGGCACACATTGGTAAAACTCACCGTGACCTTAAGATGTAATTAGCCACTTAAAATCGATTTCACGTGTGTGTGTTAGTACTCCGAGCATACAAATCAAACATATCTCGTGTATTAAAAAGGTCACGTCTGTCCGACATCATCTTTCACTCCGCCAGCAGATGTTAACGCCAGCTCCTCTGAATGAAAACTTAATTTCTAATCACCCTATGAGAAATTGTCGAGTGCGGTTATGAATATCAAAACCCGAACAAATGTGCTAAAAAAAAAAAAAAAAAAAAGGTGTGACAATTGATCAAGTAAGACCGATTTCAAAAACAGTCTTTGCTTAAAAAAAAAAAGGCTGTTTTGAAAAATTAAATATGCAAATTGGATAGAGACCTAAACAATACTCGATAACACAAGACTTCAGCTGCAAACATGAATGAATTCTCATTAATGAAAGGTTCAATGGAAACTTTATGGGCTCATTTAAGGGATTTATTTGCTTTCACTCCTTTTAAAAATCACAGCTTTTTCTTTCTAGACTATTAACGCAGTGGTTGCAGCCTTCTAAACATCAATGCATGTAAACAAGTATAGACAACTAAACAGGTCCGCGGTACCACGGACAGACACAGAGGTCTCATTAATGCGGCTCAGTGAGAGGAACGTGGACTAGTCTCCAAACTCTCAAGGGGCCAGGTTGGAAGTTTGTCCAGCAGGAAGCACAGAGCTGACTAATCAGGGTGAGAGATGTGGCAGGGACAGAGAAAGTACGCATGTCGGGAAGTGCGTAAGCAGGCTCACCCACACAGACGACAAAGCAACAGGATTGCTGTTGAGTCAATCCAAATCATTTCTCTCACCATATTGAAAGTGCATTATTATGGCCGGCCATAAATCATCATTTCACTGAATTTATCAACCAAAAATACGAGAACATTTGCTTGTTCTACCTTCTCAAATGTAAATGTAATGTATTATTAAATATCTCTGAATTTTAACCAGTTAGTTGGACGAAACAAGTGATTTAAAGACTTTCTCCTTGAATTTTTAAGCAGCAACACACTTACGGATATAAGTGTTAGAAATAATATGACGAATGACAATACGGTGACAATAAAACTGTAACAATATCAAATATGTCGTCATAGGAGAAGTTAGAAAATGATGTTAATAAACATAGCTGTTTACAACTACATTATGGTTTGTTATAAACCATTTATTAAATGTAAGTGTTCCCGATTTTTCACTATTTTCTCACATTTTATGATTGTTAAATAAATAATTGACAGATATTGAAAAACTAACGTACATTGCAGTAGTCCAATACATTCCAGATCTATGCAACAAAACATATGGCCATTTAACTAAAAAATCTTCATAACAGACAAATGAAATGTCTTCAGTGGCTGAATCTGTCTGCGGATGACTTATGTTCCTTCATGTGTGTTTTCAGTACGATTATTAGTGAAGACATCTGTCCAGCGCATCCTTAATCATGTCCCTGCCAAAACGAAGCCACGACGCACATTCTCAATGAATTTCATTAGCTTGCAAATCACCATCTCTCTCTCCTCCTCTGTGTGCTTATGAGCAAAGGGTTGGCAATTCCCAGAATCCTCTCTGTATCCGTTACCTGAGAGTGACATTATGCAGGATGAGTACTCCTGGTCCACAAACAAGCATGCACTCAGGAGACGGGGACTGGATAATTAGGCGCCTTTTCGTGGGTCTGATAAGATAACATTTTCAATGTCAATGCATGGGCGGCTCAACTGGCCGTTTCCTGATGATGACATTTGCATGTCCCTGTGTCTGTTGACGTAGCTCCAGGACAACGGGGGGGGGGGAGTCACACCACTTCTGAAATGGGAGGGTGGACAGCACGGGATGGCTGAGCTGACAAACAAATAGCGCCCTCGGTTTCCATCAGTGTAACTTTTGGCCGCTCTGCGATCGCCCTCCTGCATGCCGAGCAGAGCACATCGCCGGCTTAAAAACGCTTTGATGGAGAGAGAGAGAGAGAGAGAGAGAGAGAGAGAGAGAGAGAGAGAGAGCGAGAAAGTGGCCAGGCTCCGTGTCCGATGTCTGTATTCGCTGACACACACTCGACAGACGGGAGTGGGAACAGGGTTGTGGCTTCATGCGGGGACGGCACTGATGCAAGAGGTGGAGAGAAAAACAAAAAAAAACAAGACTGGTGTAATAAATCACGTCAGTGACGCATTAACACATTCATGAGGCCGTGAGAGGGAAAGGAAATGGGTAATACTTCATCAGTATGAAACCAGAATCTTTCAACAAATACGAATGTTCGGACATTTCCTTTATATTTTCTAAATGTTTGATTCTCACTATCTTAAAACTAGAAAGGCGCCCTCTCACACACGCTGTATTGTGTGATTGAACGAATAACACTCACAAAAGGATAACTTAGGCACTCAGCTGTGTCATCACTAGCCGACTAAGAATGGCGAGTGAGGAGTTCACATGCAGTCTGGAAATAGAAGGCGTTTCGAGAAAGTGTGAATAACCACGACCACGTGAGGTCTCTGAGCATGCAGGATAACTGGCCACCTGAGATATTGTGCAGTTTGCTGCAACAGAATTAGCCGTGGACAGACACAGAGGTGCACAGTCACTCACTCACAGACGCACGCACACGTGAGAGTGATTGCATGATCCTCGTTGCGGAGAAAGTAAATATATATATATATATATATATATATTTAGCTCTGTGAGGTACAAAGTAGCAAATCAAATGAAAAGGACATCAAAGTTGAAATGAAGTACTTGAGTAAATGTAATTTGCTACTTTTGTCCAACAAAATGTTACATGTTCTATTTTTGATACATATTTTCAGAAATCTAACTCCGACATGAATCTGAGACCAGACTGATTTAAAGCTTCTTATCTGACTTTGTATCTTCGACAATCCAATGTCACACACAAAGTCAATCATCTCCTCCTCTAAGGGAGCAGCAACACTGACATTAATCTACTGCGACTTCCAAAATAAAATCTATCCGTTGTGAACAAATCCCCAAACATGCAAAAAGTAAACAAGACCGTTTTTTGATGTAAACTCTCACATTTTTCATGTTTCTTTTTTTGCTTGCCTGTGTCATTAAAAATGTATTTCTTGTCATTTATTTAGATGTTGTTTGACTCAGACTCCCTGAAGAGAAACGATTGTGTGGACACTTAAGTACAAAAACAGAAATCTGACTAACTTTTGCATTTCAGAGTGATTTTGCATGAACGTGTCATCTTTTGAGTGAGATTTAGTCTGAATTTTCAATCATTTTGCACTCTAATCATTACATGTTTCTGCATAAAGTGTTCCTAAAGGGGTTTTAGAAGGCAAAGAATTAGGTTCAGATACAGGTCGAACAACCCTATGCTGCCACCTGCTGGACAACATCATGAAGACCACTTCAACGTTCTGCTGAAAACCTTCATTCTTAACTTCCCACCTCAGAATCCGCTCGGTCCTGTTGGAGCTCATGAGAAGTTGGCGCTGCCTACAGACGTGTAGTAGCCCGAACAATCTGTCGAATATCTCTGAGACAGCAGGACAGAATTCAGCTCACACCCTCCAAAACGATAAGCACCAAATTTCTGTAATGAAAACAGTATATCTTTAAATAACAAAATAACAACACCAATAATACAAAACATCATCATCGTCCCTTATTTGAAGGTAAGGCAGCTGAGCACTTGCTAAGTACCCTTGTGTCATTTTCAGAGCAAAGAAAATGAAGGATTTTGTTATTCAAACAAAGATCTTCTCTGCACCAGAGAGGAAAGGAAGGTGAATTTCAGAGCTTTCTGTTTTATCTGCAGTGTCGACTTGGTGTCACATTTCAGTCGTCACACACAAAGAAACTGCACCTGAAGGTCTCGCTCTGACAAATGCTGCTTTAAATAAAGTAAAACTCTTATACAAGTGTTTTCTTGTTTCTTCAAATAACAGTATAAATCTTTCTACCAGCCAACAAAAGGATAGGTGAAGCAGAAGTTGAACTCAATATTTATGGAGACAGCCTTCTACTTATTTTGTTTTTATCTTATGTCATTGTTGATATTTTATTCCATTTTATTCTTATATAAAATAAAATCCCTGATTTTGTGTGTTTTGAACCTTGTTCCAGCATGTTTGGCACTAAGTACCTTTGTTATGAAAGGTGCCGTATAAATAAAAGTTTATTATATCATGATTACTATTATTATTAGTCCTGAATGACGAGGATCTAAAAGGCTCGTGATCACTCCAATTAGGCCCCTATAGCAAAACATTTTGACACGTCAAAGTAAGGAAGAGCACAGGTGTAAATAATTAAATTAAAGACGGCTTAATTCAATTTGGCTGCATCAGCTTCTGGCTCGCTGTCTCCGCTTACTGGGGCACATGAATAGAACGGAGTCATCGTTATTGTGATTTGTAACACCTGCGCTTTTCCTACAGTGACGATTAACAATATCTGCAGTAAAAAATGTCGATGTTTCAGCTAAAAAAAGAACCTCACACACTGACAGACTGGAGATTTAAATACTAAACATGTTTGTGATAGCTGCCTTCCAACAGATCAGGTGGGTTAACGTCTAATTACATATCGCAGGTGGTCTTGGAACGTAATCCTTTAATACCAGCCTGAAATCATAAAACCTTTATGACTGGTAGGAGTGAGTCAGCCCCAAAATGAACCTGTTTGTTTGCATGCTAGAGTAGAATCAGAGAGTTCCCCCCCAAAAGACCTAAATCTCTCTATTTTTAAAAGGTATTATTTGGAAAGCTCTTATATCCTATATCTTATATGTGTTGAATGTGCAGACAACACGGCAAAAAAGTTAATTTCCACATATATTTAACATTTCTCATAGTATGTTTTGCTCATTTCAAATAAAATCGATCCAAAAGTCTGAATGTTTGCATGCAACTATTTCCTCGAACCTTTAATATGCTTCTGGCGTCAAAAGCTTCTCGTTCACTCGTGGTTTGTCTTTTGGGGCCGCCCGTGTCTTCAACTGGAAAAAAAACACCAGAATGCAAAAGACAAGCTGAACAATGTAAGAAAACCAAAAGTGTCTCTCCTGAACAAATAAACATGTTTACTTGCTGCTACAGAGGGGAACAGCGAGGTGTCAATCAAGGGGATTTAGTTGTGAAACAGGAGCTAAAGCAGAAGAATAAACACTGGGTTTTAAATCTTTTACATTGTGGCCAACATGGTCAGCAGTGACAAGGCCCCTCCCTTGTGTGGTGTGTTGTTGGTCAGCTCAGTACAAATGTGAGAACTGGAGCTGGACTTTATCCACGGACAAACTGAATGGAACCATTGTCAGAGTACTTGGAAATCATGACACTCGGTGTACGTAAACAGAGCTGTGGCCAAACGGAGAACTGGCTGCCTTCAGGAATTTGTTATTGTAATTAAAGATTCAGCTTTGTCCTCGCTGCAGCTCAGGTCCAAGCTAAGAGATAATGAGGGGACATTGGCAAATATGTGACAAATAACCTTGTTTTTTACCCTAACTGCTGGCAGATAACGCTGTATGCATGTTTCTTTCTTTACCTGTGGAGTCCTTTCTGAACAGAGTGTTCATCACAGTGGCGTGCAGCTTCACTCGGTCCCACTCTCTGGCCATCAGCCCGGTGGAGACAAAGTGCTCCAGCAGCCGGTCCGCAATCACCTGCAACCTTAAGAGCAGCAATGAGAAGAAGAAGAAGAAGAAGAAGAAGAAATGTGGCAACTTTGTAAATTTATGTCATTTTTCACACGTTTTGTTGCCGATCCACTTACTTGTCCGATCTGTCTTTCACATTGACTTTGGCATACAAGACGTCCACCATGGCTGGGTCATCGTTCATGTACTCTATACCCGTCACCTCCAGCAGCAGACGACTTCCCTCCGTGATGTCTCTGATGGCAGACAGTGACAAGCAGATTGCAGTTATGGTTTTCAGACACTGAATCTTGAGCAATAAAATGGTTCCTTTGTTTCCTCTCTGTTGTACTCCAAGTATTCTTTCTTGTGCATGTGAAACTGAGTGCACTTATAAACTTATCTGATCCGATAATAAGAATTTAATCAGATTCAATCTAATTCTGCATTTAAAAAGGATATAATTACATAATCTGATTAGATATTAAACAATAAAGCAGGTGTTATTCAATTTTTTAATAAGCCAAAACAAACAATGTAAGTCCGTGTCTCAGTACTTTCCAACTTACCTTATCTGTGGCACCCAGCCAAACCCAGTTTGTTATTACTGAAGATGTTGATCTTTAAAAATGTGTCTCACATAGATACTTTCTTTAAAATGAAAAAGGCTACGTCATGTCTTAAAAAAAGTTTTAGAAAACGTGACTCAAACAGGAGGGGGCCTACTTTCTGCCCTGGATTTAGCGGTAGTGAGAACAACCACAGATCTCAATATAGAGATAGAGAGTGAGGTTTGCCAGTCAGCTTTGAATCGTGTCCACACGTCATATATTTGTGCCCGTCACAGTCCCACAATGCAAAGTAGTACACGGAGTCCACTGGTCCAAAAGCAAACTAGCTCGCAGCTCTCCTGGCACTGATCCAAAGTGTGATAAATGTCACCAAGGGCCAGCTAAGTTCAGTCACATGTTTTGTACTTGTCCCGCCCTCTCTCTATTTTGGAAGTCTGTTTTTGCCCCACTCTCAGCCGTCATACCTGCGAACATAGGAGGCCTATTTGGTGTCCTATTTCTTTAGTCAATAAGTCTTTTTTTCATGCTGAATGACTTTTTTCAAAGAAGCTCATAAGCACATCTCTGGTAAACACAATATTTAAAGTGGTGCTTTTGGACTACTAAGAACTTCTTTAGTTGAGGACGGCCCTAATATAAACACAGTGCATATACACACATGTTCACAGTAATGAACCCAGTGCAACAGTGTGGCTCATCGATGAGGAATGTTAAATCAAGCTTTGGCTACACATGGAATAATTGTTTGTAGGATTAAGTCATTGATAGCCTTTCATGGACTTTGTTCACAACAACAAATACATCAAATACCCCCAGATGTATGCTTTAAAGCAGTATTTTGTGTTGTTTTCACCTCAAATAAAATATAAAGCTGTATAGTTACACAGTTTGAATCTTAGTATAAAATAACCTTTTTTTTTGGCAAATACCTGATGAAGTTTTGACACTCTTGGAGATGTTCGCACGCTTTTCTCACTTCTGTTTCATTTAATAGAGCCAGGGTGCCGATTGTCAGGTGAAGCTTTGCCGGGTTCTGAAAGATGCTTCCCTCTACTCCATTATCCTACACAGCAGGTAACAACAATTAGTAAATATTTCATTTATAATGTGCTGATCTTAAACCACACGTGGCCCCGACTGGCCCTCATCCACACCATCCATGTTCCTTCTACAGTACCTGTGAGCACTGCTGCAACACCTCGTCTTTAAAGCTCAGGAATCCTTCTTGAATTTTGGGATCATTCAGAGGAAATGACAGGAAATGCGTGAAAGGCTGCTTCTTCCGGAAACTGTCAATAAGGACCTCAACTCGTGTGACTGCAGATGAGACTGCAGCTTTATGGGAACCTGTGATAACTGTCGGACAAAGGAAGTTGAGGGGGAAATCTTTTGTTTCAGGAACTGTTTTATGATGCTCTCAATCCTCACCAATCTGTCCTTCCACTCCTAGTTTTGGGATGTTGATAGATGTCTTTGTGTCAAACTCCAGACGTTTGCGTGTCTCTCCTTTCTTCCCAATGATGTATCTGTAGAACAAACAAAGTACGCTGTTTAGAAACAAAACATCTTGTGTTGATGCAGCACAATCAAAACATGTGCATTTAGTGGATAGTTAACTCACTTGTAAAGAACACTTGGGACATCGATAGCACAGCGGTATCCCTTATCAGTCTGCTCAATGGAGATGGTATCACAGGTTTCATCTTCTGCAAGGTCTTCACTCTCTAAACAGGATAGAACCACACATATACAGATGTATTACTGGTTTCTTTTCTTTTTTAAAGAAAATCTGTCTACTGTCTGCAGCACATACAAAGACACTTAATAAGTTACCTGGTGGTCCCGTGTAAGTCACATCTTCTTCTTCCTCATAATGTTCTTCCTGAATGATATTCCTTCGGTACTTTCTCCCATTTATATTGATAAGAGCTGGACGTAAAACGTCCATAATGTCAACCAGCTAACGTCAGCTGCTCTAACGCTGCAACACAAATATATCTCTGAACTATTACACGAAAAATGAATTAGCTTATGTAGTATTTCAAACACTTAATTTGCTAGTAAGTTGCTAGTTAGTTGACGTTTCGGTTTCCCTGCTTTACGACAGCCAGTGTCCTGTGTTTAATGATGCCGTCGCTTCAAACGTAAAACGCTGTCTTTGTCGTAAACTAGTGGCAAGACAAAATAAACAACATAAACCAACTGCACGGACTTAAAGTCGTTATAGATTTACTTCAACATCGACAGGAACGTAATATATATATTGTTTTAAAAAAGGTAAGTTATTGCCAGATTTAGTCGGGCAACATTAATGGTGAATGGCCGTTGCTTACATCGGCGCTAGCAGGGTAGTTAGCTTTCTTGCTAGCCACTTAGCATTGTTGTCGCAGTTAATAACTTCATATCGGATTGTAACGTTACAATAAAAGCAAGGAAAGCAAACGTACTAACTTCAGCTTAAGTCGTGTGTGGCTATAGTGAGAAAATAGAGTGTAAAAACTGAAACGCTAGCTTGACATACTTATGTTTTAACAGGTTATAAGCGGTGGTAATAACAGCACAACGTGTTTTCTTTTGTGTTTTTAAAGTTCAATGGCAGCTTCTTCTTCGTCCTCCTCTGCGGGAGGTGTGAGTGGCAGCTCGGTGACAGGCTCTGGATTCAGTGCTTCAGAGCTCATCCCTCCAAGAAAAGTCCTGTACACGTATCCTAAAGGTGCAGGTGAAATGATGGAAGGTGAGATAAAACACAGCCAAAGGCATCTTGTGTGTCAGCTGTCTCTCTCCTCCTAACTAGGGAGATGTTATGAGAATCCTATCATGAGACAACACACTGTGGGTTCATTCTGTTACAGATCATTGACATTGAGAAGGCACTGGGCCAAATAGTCTCAGCCAGTTTGTGCCCCTTATGCAATCACTGCACTTCATGACATTTGAGGTCGTGTACATCGGAATTTACATTTAGGTCTCAGAGCTAAGCATCTGTTTTCTGAATGAAACATACAGACCAAACTCTGACAAGTGTTGCTACTGATTTGTGGACATTTTCAGAAAGTCTCATATAAAAGCGATGAGTGACACCAACCTGAGTCTATAATAAAGTCACATCACAAAGCTCGAAAGTCGAAATAATTGGTATGATTGAGGAGAAGGTTCATGAAACTTCGCTAACATAGAGCCAGAGAGAGCATTTCTTTCGCTTAACCTGTTCGCTGATTGTTAGCCCTGACCTTCGCTGAAGGTTAGGACGTCTATATTGGGAACAACTGTTACAATTTGATGTTCGCTCGTTCGCATGGCGTCCAGTTAGGAAGAGGTGCAACACAGTGATGAATAGGACTGCAGTAATGCCGACGGTCTTAAGCTCTTCCTCTTTGTTTATTCAACTTATCTTTCCGGATTAGCATGAAAGTTTAATTCAGAGACACTAGTGAGCTAGTATCTTTGTGAACACCAACGCTTTAATTATGTCTTCACCAGCATTTAACTTGTGTGTCTTTCTTTTTAGATGGCTCTGACAGATTTTTATGCGAGTCCGTATTCAGCTACCAAGTTGCCTCCACACTTAAACAGGTCAAACACGGTAAGTCACTAACTATATATGCAATTTGTTTTGGTTGATCCATGAAAAAGCTGGTTCCCTAATAAAGCAAGTGTTGTGTGTTCTTGCAGATCAACAAGTGTCTCGAATGGAAAAACTGGCGAGCTTGGTGGAGGAGCTGGAAGCAGATGAGTGGCGGTACAAACCCATTGAACAGCTGTTGGGATTTACGCCGTCTTAAATAGAAACACCCAGATGCCTTTTCCAAATTAAAGGAGATGGTTTATTTCAGTTCATAAATTATATTCCTTTTTGTATGGTTTCATTATATATGATGAGTGTAAAATATATCTGGAGATACTGAACGTGACATGTATTATTTAATCACTTTGACTATTGTGTGAGTAGTTTTCTTTTTTTTTTATAAACTATGTTACTTTGCATACTATAATAAAACCACTGTCAACAAAAATCCCCTTGTTATGTGCTGATGACTAAACTATTTAAAACGGGTTGAGGCTACTGAAGGTGTATTGTCAGTCCAATCGGCTCTTAGCCTCGGAGATTAGAGACATAATATCTTTAGTGGCGTGTCCTGAAGTGAGGCATTTTGTTTTCACATGGCTGCACCGTAGACCGTAAAGCCTGAAACCTCATCGCTGCTCCAACAGCAAAACAAAGAGAGCTTGTGAATAAAGTCATACTTGGACATTTCCCTGCTGTTTGTTTGTTACTAACCCACTTCCCCTGAGTCATTCCCTAACATGTTGATGTGCTCCTAAATCTTTGTGCTGTTTGTTTAATGTTCAAAATGTACACTCTGTTACTCAAGTGAGCTAAAGTCTTGACTCGCTGACGTGGTCGTTTCTGTGTCACCTCTCTGCTGTGTTGACGGCGACGAAAGGCGCTGGTCTCGGTGTTTTGCTCGGTGAATGGATGTATTCAAACAAATGAGAGGGTGGGAATGGACAGAATGTACTGTTCTGGGTGTGAGCGTCTAAGAACGGTCCTGGACATAACAAGACACGCCTCAAGCCGCAGATTAGATTTCCTTTTACAAGAGTTCAGAAGTACATTTGTTTTCGTCACACTCAAATTCAATTTACAACTTGTTTGCTCATAGTTGTTAAAAGTTTTAAAAGGCTTTGCATGAATTGCTGAAGCCTTTAACTTAAGTCCACATTTGTTGTCTATAAAAGGAACCCCCCCCAAAAGAAACATATGACGATGACTCCTAATTCACTGCATCCCCCTCAGAACATATTGTACCGACATGTGTTTATGTCTTTCAGTTCCTCCATTACTTGAAGTACAGTCCGTCCCGCTCTCTGTATTAACACAGCATTTATCTGTCAGCGTTCCAATTTTTTTTCTTCAAGCAAACATTGAGTATATCATGTGCAGTGACGGCATGAAACAAAGCAGCAGTTTCTGCTTTGCACTGTAGCTGTTCCTGCAGTTTTGCTTGGGTTTCCATCTGGTAAAGTATACCGTGTAACTCTCACCACCAAATGAACTCGTCATTTTCCCCATGCAGTGCTTTTTATGCCTGAAAGCACGTTGATGGCACCAGAGCATACTTTGTGACAGTAATGCTATACTGTGTAAAGCTATACCCTCCTGGTTCTATTGTTTGGCCTTATTTTCAGTGGTGTTCTATTTGAGTGCAAATGTAGGAAGATGCACATCTTTGAATAGAAAACAACTATCAGCATATTATCGTGTTCCCAGTGTTGCATTTTGCAGCCGGTTGTGTGTTGTTTTCACCTCTGTGTGGCAGATGAAAAATCATGATGTAATGCTTGAGCAAAACAGGTGACGTAATGTGCACTGCAACACTCAACCTGCTGATCTTTTCCTGCATGGACTCTATTCAATGCTTTTTAATACAGTGGATACACATAGAGCAAAGTCATTTATTTATGCTTATGAAAGATATCAAACAAAGAAATTATATAGGATGCTATAGGAAGCTCAGGCAAGTCTTTGTATATTTCAACAACACCGGGGTCTGCTATTCATCACCAGAGCCCCCCCTCTCCTCCTCCTCCTGTTTGTCTTCTCTGCTGGCATGTTACCAGGCAAGATACAGCTCCCGATGCCGTGCCTCTCTTTATGATTGGCTGGATGGGTTGCGGGTGGGCGTGGCCTAACATCCCATATATAAACATTGTTGCAGGACAAACCGCATAGTTTGGCAGCTGCTGTGTAGATGAGGCAGTGTAGGGGAAAGAGGTTACCAGATGGTTGTTTTTGCAGACAATAAGCCTTCAAATAACTATATTCTACATCGACATCGGACTTGATCAGCACCGTTGTCATATACACTGTAAGTACTATGTCACAAATTGCTTATTTTGCAGTTATTTTGCAGTTTTAACAGCTCTAAGCTACCGTCAAAGATCTTCATCCTGTAAACTTGTACTGTTCATATATTCTGTAACAAGGAATACTTAAAATGCTTATGTTGAAGTATTACTAAATTATGTTTAACTTGTAACTACTGCTGTTTATCTCGAGTTTGAGTGCTTATCTTTTTGTTTTTGTCTCCTCATAAACAGTTAACCACAGGATCAGCTGATACTGTTTAATACTGCAAAGAGGACAGCCATGCCCGCTCTCTCTGCACCCACTGGTATCAGCAGCTCAGCCTCTTCTCCAGTGGACAGCAGTCTCAGGAGGCTGTCCTGGGGTAAACTGGTTCAAAGGATGGCCGATTTCAGCACATCTGCCAACAGCAGAAGTATTGACTCCGGGTCCAACGATGGCAGCAGGAGTGATCTCTCTGACTCAGGTAAAGACCAATGCAAATGTTTCTAACACTTAATTCTGAGTGAATCAGAATTTTCCTCTTTCTTTTTTTTCCCATGGCTCCAATGCTAACCCTATTGTGTCTTGACAACAGGGTCAGATGTCTCCAGTGACCTGTCTCACTGCAATGAAGACCTGTTTAATGGCCCAATGGAGGAGACCATCCTGAAAGAAGTAGTGGACCTTATTGCAGGAAGCCTGAGAGACTCCAAAGACTCCTTACGATGTACCAAGCTGCTCATCCCCGACAAACTTCTGGAGCACATCGGACAGGAGCTCCTTCACCTGGCAGCTAGCGAGCCCTGCGGCTTAAGGGGGGCTCTCGTTGACCTGTGTGTGGAGCAAGGGGCCGTCTGCGAGAGCATGGCACAGCTGTCCGTGGACCCCTACCTTGTCCCCACCTTTCAGCTGACTCTGGTGTTGCGGCTGGATTCCAGTGGGCTGTGGCCCAAGATCCAAGGACTTTTTAGCACAAAGTCTCCTTCCACTCCAGTCGTGAGAGAAGCGATTAAACTTAGCACTGGTTTCCGAGTGATTAAGAAGAAACTGTATTGTTCCGAGGAACTGCTCATTGAGGAATGTTGAGAAATGTATGGGACTGTCGATATTTTACTGTCTGCGTTTTTTACAACGCCCAGTTAAGCTCACAGAAAGGGCCTTATTACTATAACTCCATGTGTATGATGCCTGCCTTCTGAAGTGTAAGGAGGGACTTTGTCATTGTGTAGCCTTTTGTTCCCACTGTAAGGGAGTTTATGGTACCTGGAGCAGGTGTCACATTTCAAATCACAATGTGTAACCATCATGGTATAAGTGGTAAATAGGCATTTTGCAAGTATCAAAGCGCGTACCTCAGTTTCTATTGAAACGCACAACGGCAGCTAAGCTATATGATTATAGTCACTGAAGACCATTGTGTTGTTTTTTTTCTTTTGATACATGCCAATTAATTGTAATGTACGCCAAGTGATGAATTGTACACCAGGCAAGTTGTTAGGGACCCTAGTGACCGCTTGATTAAAGCGCAAAGGCTCACCAGTGCTTACATTATGCAGTTTATGTGCAAGCTACGGCTAAGATTTGATCTTGTATCTTGTGTAGACCTTTCCTGCTTTAAACTTTATTTATTTGACATTCAAATACTCATAACATTGCACTGTTTTTGTACTTCCATGACTGCAAATAAATTATTATTTTTTAACAATTCTCTCATCTGTCTTATTTCTTGAAACTTGTCAGATTAAGATCATCCATTTGTAGTTTTATATCCAGATTCTGTATGAGGTAAAATATGATTTTGCTAAATGTAGAGCTACATATATAAAGCTATATGCCTACCCTTTGACAAACTGCCAGAATACTAATATACCTATAGATAGATGGATCAGCTGACATATGAGCCAGACATTTTATGGCACATGCACAACAATTACAAAGTTGCAAAATTGAAGAAAGTTAAAACACTGGCAAGTTAAAATTAGAAAGCGGAGGTGAAACTTCTGCTAAAAACAGCTGAGTACATTTGCAGTGAGAGAATGTGACACTGTTAGTTCCTACCAGGCGCATGTTGCTGCACGTCCCCCCCAAAATGTGAACGTGCACAAAGCCATGTTTCCTGTTCCCAGCCACAGCCAGCTCACCGGCAGACTTTACGTGCGGGATGTGCTGACTGAACTTTTGTCTCCACGTTCTGTGCTCGTCCTGCTCTGAGCAATGAGTCACGTCCAACACGTTTTAAGCATCCATATTTATTTTCATCTGGGAGTAAAAACATGGTGGAAAAGGTGCGCAAGAGCTATTTTGATAATCATTTTCTAAATAAATAATACAGAACATGAATAGCATTCTATAAACATAGGTGTGACAAAAATTGCTTTTTCCAACAGATGATGTTCATCAGAGACATTGCGTTCAAAAACTAGAACCTGTTAAAGTCCCACTTGGTGGGGAGGCACATCTCTCAATCTTCTTGGCTTTTATTGTGAAGTGCCATCAGGTCACAGCATATTATTCTATCCTGAACACAATTAAAAGAGGCAAAGTGTAAAGGGACATTTCATAATTGCTCTCTCTCTCTCTCTCTCTCTCACTCTCACACTCTCACACACACACACACACACACAGACGAAGACAAATCTCAGGTGTTCATTGTCTGACAAACCCTAGACATGAGTGTATGTTCATCAGAGTTTTCACATTATTCCTGCATAGTTTCAGAATGTGCATTTGAAGTCAAATCAGCAAACCCGACTCCTCCGACTCCTCTCCCTCGCTGATTTGACTATGTAAAAGAAAAGAGGAAGCGCTCAGTGTGGTATCTTATAAACTGCTACATAAATAACATCTGTACGACTATATCTAACCTCACTATTTTCCTGTTCCAAACTGTATTCTTGCAAAACCATAAAGTGACCACTGCTGGCTCCCATTCAAAAACTTTTTGGAGTTTTTCCAAACCCCTATCTTGTCAAGAGGACAAGCTATTTTAAGTGTTTTTCCCCTATTTCAAAACATTATAATAACATTATATTTTAATTTCACATTCCAGTTTGTGTGGTCAATTTGATGCATTCGGTGCTGGTTTGTTTGTGTTGCTTGTCGAGTCATCTTCAGTCTCCAGATTGTTAAAGCATCTATTTACAGCCAATAATCTTTTACAGCCAATAATCTTTTACAGCTAATATTTTCTTTGTGTTGACTCTGGAAAGAAGGAAAAAAAAAAATAAAAAAATCATGAAAACATTTTCACTTTGTGAAATGAAAAACAAACATGCAGCTATTGATAATAAAATATGTTCAGAAATAACAAACATGTAGAGAACTTGCTTTTACTTATGAAAGCAGCATCAACCGCGTAATGACGCTGTGATCTCGGACAGCTTGGCGCAGCTCGGTGTGCGAGCCCTCTGTGCTCTTTGGTACAGATCGTTGTCTCCAAAATAGCGGGCTCTGTAAAGCATGCCCTCCTCTGCAGGAAGTAGAAACAATTAATGAGAGGTATATGAGGGGAAATAAAAATCAGACAATGTCTTTCATTATTTTCCCAGAACTGGCAGAAACAATTAATATTCATGGTTGGATAAATAAATAAGCCCAATTTGTGTTCTTAGCAAACATACTCTGTTGCTTCTCCTTCCAGCAATTGTTGCGAAGGTTGGAAACATAATCGTCCTCCACCGTCCGCTCCAAGTTCCTCAAATTCAGTCCAGTGAACTCTCTGGAGAACTGCTCCCCCACATAATATGGCACCTTCAGGTTCTCAGTCAGCCTCCTCTGTGTGTAACCTGCTGACCTGCGTGACGATAGGACGAAAGTGTGGGAGAGAGATCCAATGACTAATGACAGATGACAGATCTGGTACCCGTCTGTCTCTGTTAACATGAGTCATGGCTGACAAAGGCTCGCAGAAAGTGTATCTGAAACACAAAGGCAAGCAAAATGGAGGGAGGCCAGACAAATGGAGCCAGCAATCCTTGCAAACACAGAAGAGCTCTGTGATTATTTGGAATTAATTGAGGCAGCACCAAGATGTTCTTTTCTCAATCAAACAAGAAAGTCATTACAATGGATCTGTCTCAGGAAGCAATGTAACTGAAAGTACTATGAAAGTAAACATTTGGTTAAGCTATAAATCAGTGACATTCTCGCTCTTACAAAAATAGCAAACAAATATAACAATTATGTTATATTATATTAGTGTTGTTATTTAACATTCTTCTTGGGCAGGTGTTCGGAACACGGGATCACACTCACGGCCTGAAGCTGAGGCTGTACGGGGGGCTGTTGACCATGATCTGACTGAGGGCCGACACAATAACAAGGATGATGATGGGCATGACCTGCACGAAGAGAGCAAGGCCTCCCTGCAAAGAAATCAGTTCAGTGTCAAAACCCCACAGCTGAATCAATCACTTTGTTTTAAGAAAAATCTCTGAAAGACACTTGAATATTACTGAATTTCACCTCAAAGGTAAAATGACAAATAACTCAACGTCGCCCCCTGCTGTTTAAGAAGAACTTTACATTATTTGCACATCTTCTGTTTGCAGGAGCTCTAATAACAACATCAAACTCACTTCCCGCTGTCGCTCTCTTCCCTCTCGCCTTTGGTAACGCATCCGCCCATTAGTGTACACATTAGCATTACCTAGATCAATGTAGCACATAATAGACAGATCACAACGAGTATGACAATGAAAACACTGTGTCTCACAAGCTTTGGCATGAAAACACAAAGCAGCGGCACTTACTTGATGGGTAACCTCCACCAAAGAACATGTTAAAGAGGTCTTCAGGTGAAATATCTGGCTCAAAGTTTCCGTTGTCTGGGCTGTGACTTGATGGATGCCTCTTCTCGTCGCCACATTGATCATACTGTTGTCTTTTGTTGGCATTACTCAGAAGAGAATACGCATTCCCGATAGCTGTTGGGAGCGAAACATTTAAATTAATCAATTAAAATGAAGTCAAATTATGTTTTTATCATCATTAATAAGGGCAGCTTCTGTAGCCATAATTACAGCCTCTATTCAGGCTTTCTGCACTAACGTCTGTGATGAATGAAAGTTCATGCTGGTCACCTTTAAACGCCTCTGTAGCACCAGGAGCGTGATTCTTGTCTGGATGGAACTTCAAAGCAAGTTTTCTATATGATCTTTTGAGTTCATCCTCAGAGGCGTCTGCCTGGACCCCGAGGATTTCATAGAAGTCTCTACATTGTTTTATCCTGTGTAGAGAACACGGGGTTCTCAGTGTCAGCTGTCGTATCAAGGCTAAAAATATGTCATATGAGTCTTGACATGATCGTCAGCCTTACCTCCTCACAGCGTCTAGCTGGTCTGCCGAGTAGGATTTTGAGGTGTCTGAAGACTTTTCTTCAGGTCTGGTATCCTCGCTGTTGCTCTGCCGCTGTCGAGGCCCTGAGCCCCCACTGAAGTCCGAGTCGCCGCCTTGTCGAGATGTAAATCCATTCTTTGCAATTAGCTCCAGTAGTACTAGAAGGGACACAATAACAGTGTTGTGAACATAAAAAGATATTCAGACATGCATTCAACAGGGGCCCCCTTGTAAAAGAGATTCTAAATCTAAATGGGATTATCCTGGATGAATAACGGTTAAATAAATTAAATGTATTTTTATTGTAAATGTGTATTATTGGTCCTCTTGGTCTGGAGATGGGAGGGTTGGTTAAAGAGATATTATTATTGTAAATTCAATGACACATAAACTGGTTCCCTGGGATCTAGGGGTCTTTGTGCTGCTCTGCCACTCTTGCCCTGTAGTCAACAGACTTTCTAGGCTTAGCCATCTAATGGAAAAGCAACTGACAACACATCGAGGACAGCGTTTCACCCAAAGAACATCTGTTTCATGTTGAGCAGGTGCACAGAATAATGCTTGCACAATAGCTACAGCAGGATGCTGATTTGTCATGAAATTACAACATTATGGCGGCTAGCTCGTTAGCTCGTTAGCTCGCAAAAGGCCCCGGCTACATGCGCTGCAGAGCTCATCCGGGATGCAGGTGATGCTGCAGGTGATGATGCTGCAGACCTCCCCGGCTGAAGCGCCCCCTTTCCTACAGGCTCGGCCATCTTAACACTCACCCTTCGCTTTCTCTGTCGGGAAGAGCCTCTGCGCCTTACCCAGGAACCTCTGCGCCTTCTCCGGCTGGTTGTTGGTCAACGCCGCGGTTGCAATGTCGATGCAGCGCTCGGCTTCGTCCCTGTTTACCTCCATTGCAGCGGGCTGAGCGAACCGGACCAGAGGTAAATACGGGCGCCTGCTTATGACGTCAGGCAGATGCTGCAAATAGAACGCCCGTCAGTTTTTGTCTTTTTTTTTGTGTTGCTTTTTGCTGAAAGCTGACGTTCATATACGTTACGTCTGCACCACTGATGTATAAAGAGAGGTTTGCATGATATGAGAGAGTCGACTCCCTGGCTCTTTACCCCACTAGATGGAGACATAACGTCTGTCTTTAACTGTGAAAACTTGTGTGTGTGTGTCAACCCTTTTTTGAATTAGAATCCTGTAAAACATTTGTAACTGTCTCCTCAGTTCATAATGGAGTGAAATTAATCTCAAAATAGTCACAAATGTGCATTACGTGATCTACAAATGAGAAATAAGATTTAAAAATGTGGACAACGATTAGTGCGTATTCCCAAATGTGCAAGTTCCAACAAATACCAACCTGTTTGAACCGTGATGTACACACATGTACAACAGCAAATGCACACATCACAACCTCAATGAATATTAATATTTATGTGCACTTTTTTTTTTTTTACTAAGGTCTGATAATATTCGCATTCGGAGAGTTTCCTGTGTATACAAATGTCTGAACATAATTGTTTTATTATTTTGTATTTATTTACAGATTATTAAATGTGTGCGCATGGATCGCCTGATACGCACGGATCAGTTTTACAAGATCAGGTTACATTTACGCGTGGAGACCATGAGTCATATGGTGGAGACTATTTTCACGGTCTGCAGCTCCACACACATCCACAAATACATGGTGCGTTTAGGTGCTAGTGGAAAACGCGGCCATCTCGTCGATTGGTGAAAACTTGAATAATTTCAAAGTGAGAATGACGTTTTTCTAAAGTGATGTCTGAAGATTAAAACCCTGTCGGTACTTGGCATATGTGAGAGATACGTAGGTTGAACAGTACATTCATGTAATATATCCTCCTATATGGATTGTTAACTAATAAAAATGCTACAAAAGTACATGTTATCAGGAAATGGTGCAGCGAACACTCTGCAGGTCAGGGTATTGTATAATTACTGTATCATCACCATTATTTCATCACTTTTACTAATCTTTATTTTTACCATAATTTCTCAATTTATTATATGCCTCTTATTTTGATTGCTGTTATAGAACGATATTGATGAGGTGCATGAAAAGTAACGTAATATTATTTGCAGTAGTGTTAGGAGTTTTGATTGAAAGCGTGATTGCTAAAACAGGGAAATAAATAAGTTTATGTTCATATATATATACTTTTGGATATATATTTATATTGTACATAGTCGTTAAATGTTTATACTAACATCTGTTATACTTTTTTTGTTGTCCTTATTTGATTTTTTATATTTTTTTGTGTAGGTATGTGCGTACGTTGAGAGCAAAGTGAAAACCCGGAGTCAAATCCCTTGTATGCGTAGTGCGTACGCATACATGGCAAATAAATCTGATTCTGATTCTGATAAATTAAATCAAATCAAATGAAATCATATAGTATTACATTATGTAATGTAAGGCATATTTGTGACCATTTAGGGACCAATCTCACTCTATATGTCTAGACAGTAGCTGCGGATCACCAGAGAAGGTAAATGTATATCTGGCAGAAGAATGAATAAAAGGTGAACAGCAGATAACCAGGCAGCCAATCAGAGTCCGAGGTTGAGGCGGCATCCGTGCGCTGATTGGTCGATCGCACTGCTTCTACTGATGCGTTTGCTGCGAAGCCAGCGACCACTCTCTCTTTCACCGGTTGCAGTACTTTCCACACCTATTCCTCTCCCTTCAACAGCCGGAATCTCTTTCCTACTCGTCTGCTTCTCTTCGGTGAGTTTTTTTATCTTCCGTTAAGTTACTCTACAGGTGTAATGTGAGCGTTACGCAACGCAGCAAATGTCGAAGCCGTACGGTGGGAACATTGTGTCAGCATCATCGATACATTACATCCTCTTCCTCTGCAGCGCAGCGGGCTTTATTCTGCTTTTATCACTGAAACACGGATATTACCGATTTATCTTGTCGTTCTTATTTTTATTCATTTTCTTTTTTTGAACCGCCCAGAGCATCAAGCACCCAAACCGCAGCCACGATGACTGAGGCGTTGGTGAAGAAGCAGCACAAGTCGAGCAACGGAAATGTTCTTCCAGAAGCCACCAGGGAAGACGTGTTTGACCACTCATACAGAGAAAAAGACGGGCCCAAACCTCCCTCGACCATCGTGTGGACAAACGTCGTTTTGATGACTCTGTTGCATATAGGTGCCGCTTACGGGGTGTCCGTCATCCCTTCAGCATCCCCTTTGACCTTACTTTGGTGTAAGTAAATTCCTACCTGTTACAGTATTTTTTTGCAAAGGGGTGGGTGTTTATTTTTGGGCCGGAATACAGTGATTTATAACGAAATCACAGCTGTTATGTCACCGCCGAAAGGTGGCTGAGCGGATGTTTGCGCACGCTCCTCCCAGTATTCTGCACGTAGTGGGATTATAGATCAGGCCAAATATCACCCGAGATTTCATGTCACAGCAAGTCTTTTAAAGCTGCGAACTACACAGCGGGCGCTTCTCATAAAATGAACGTATACTTCTTATTAACAACAGAGACCAACTATCATGTTTGTTATTTTATAATTAAGTAACGGTATCATAGGACAAAGAGTGATTACACAAGCTGCATTCTGCTGTATTACTTGACAAAAAATGTCCTTAGAGTTCATTGGAATATGTATTTTCTATGAATGTTAAAACCACAGAGGCTGCACTTATGAATAGAGATTTCCAGTCATGCAAGCATGAAACGCTTGTATCCATTCAGTCAGCATCCGATATGACGTAGTTACATTACCAAGTGACTGTCACAGCTTCATGTAACTTTCCATGTTTATTTAAACTCTCCTGAGATAAATAGACCAGTACAAACCACTTCAGTCAGAGGCACATTTGAATGATCTTCAGCTACACCTACCGTGCAGGAATGCTGGTGTGATTCATTTGATTGTGTTGGGGAGATCATCTTGGAACAAATTCCCAAAATATGTTCCCTTTGATAAAAAGGAAAGGCCTTGTAAGCTAAAATGAGGTGAAACAATTGCAATAGTAATAATTTCAGCTTTTTGAATGACTATTTTACAGTTTAGTGGGGTGATCTACCCTTTAGTTACACATATATAATAATGTAACATGGATGACTCACTTGCAAAATATCACTTGTTGCAGGATTATTCGCAGACCTAACACTGACAGTATAAGTGTACAGAAAACACCTGATGCTTAGATATTGCAAATGTGCAGTATTTTAAATGCTAGCAGTACTAATTACTTTCTGTCTTTGTCCCCACAGCCTTACTTTGCTTTTTCATAAGTGCTTTAGGAGTTACTGCCGGAGCTCATCGCCTGTGGAGCCACAGATCCTACAAGGCCACATTACCTCTAAAGATCTTTCTTGGTTTAGCCAACTCCATGTCATTTCAGGTACACACACTCACCTCTGTAATAACAGCAGTTTTCATTACCGTGTAACGACCACGTTGTGTCTGCAGTGTATGTAATCTCTGTCTTTACCTGAACCCACAGAATGATATCTTTGAGTGGGCTCGAGACCACAGGGTTCACCACAAGTATTCGGAGACAGATGCTGACCCGCACAACGCCGTCCGGGGCTTCTTCTTCGCTCACATTGGCTGGCTGATGCTGCGCAAACACCCCGACGTCATTGAGAAGGGAAAAAAGCTGGAGCTCAGTGACCTGAAGTCTGACAAAGTTGTAATGTTTCAAAGGAAGTAAGTGGCTTCAGTCAATGATTGATTTTACACCTATGGGAGGAGGTAGTGTGTAGCGTGGACAGTAAACAATCATAAGTGTATTTCGTTATTTTAGTCTCTGGTGTGTCAAATACAAATATAGAGCAAAGAAAGACCGATTGAACTTGTTAACCCATGCTGCTGCAGACTTGTGTCTGTGGTCCTTCTGGTTTAACAAGGTGACAATTACTAACATGTCTGTCGTGCATGTTGAGATCGGTTCACAAGGTCGACTTTAAGGAAAACTGTCACGTTGAAGAAAGAGATGGCGCGGGGAAAAAAATCCAACGTCTGACAATTGTGTGTTTATGCCTTACTGAGTAAACAGCTCCATTCATTCTGCTCTCCACCCACTGTGTCTCTTCGACAGGTATTACAAGCCGTCTGTGCTGCTCATGTGCTTCTTCGTCCCCATGTCCGTGCCCTGGTACTTTTGGGGGGAGTCTCTGTGGGTGGCGTACTTCGTCCCAGCTCTGTTGAGGTACACCTTGGTGCTGAACGCCACCTGGCTGGTCAACAGCGCGGCTCACATGTGGGGGAACAGGCCCTATGACAAGGGCATCAACCCCAGGGAGAACAAGTTTGTCACATTCAGCGCTATAGGTATGAAACGCAAATACATCATTGAAATAGGAATTGTTAGACTCATGACTGTCAGGAAAGTGTCACCTCTAGAAAAATACCATTCACTTTAAGAGTTATGCGTTGCACCTGCTGCCTACATTTGGCTGCACAGTGGGTTCAAGAATCAGTGCGATGTATGTCAAATAGTTACGACCTAAACCAGTCCGGCAGCCGATAACGGTAAAACGGTGTGCAATATCACAAAACAAATGGCCGACTCATTTGAAGGCTGATTTAAACATTTTTATTTATTCTGAAGATCACAGTTATTCCCACTGGATCCACCCACAAGAATGCTAGTGCCTTGAACAACCAATAGGAGTCACTGGTGTGGAAACAATGGAGATTTTAAAAGACCTGGATGTTCTAAGATGGCACCCAGTTCTTGAACGTTGTTCACCAAAAATAGAATTAAAAAACAAAGAAAAATTGTATGCTTCAGTGGTTTTAGGCTAAGCCGACTGACTCCTTACTGGTAATATACTAATATGAATGTTGAAGACTTTTTATTCCGAACTGCACTTTCTGAACAAATATAATCTAATTTAGGGAAAACAAAAAAGCGATCTCAGAGAGCGGCAGACAGAAGGGTCTACCTAACGTACTCTGCTAATGTTAGCTCCACAGGTTCTTGCGTAGAAATGTTTCGATGATTTGCTCACCGCTGATTTCCTTGTAACTTACAGGTGAGGGATTTCACAACTATCACCACACGTTCCCCTTTGACTATGCAACAAGTGAGTTCGGCTGCAAGTTGAACATTACCACTTGTTTCATCGACGCCATGTGCTTCTTGGGCCTGGCCACGGACCCCAAGAGAGTGTCCCACGAGCTGGTCGCGGCCCGATCACAGCGCACCGGAGACGGAAGCCACCGGAGTGGCTAAGGTCGACGAATTGCGGTCAGCTTCGAGGGAAGAACTATCGACAAGAAGAAGCTTCACAGCCCTTTGACAGCTATACATTTCTCATCCGCTGAAGATAAAGGTCATCTTCATGAGGGCCTTGACAACATTTTGTAGCTGTAACTAAAAAAAAAACCACATTTTGCGAAGCTCTTTGCCTTGGTTTCTGTTCAGACAGACCATAGTCTTGCAAAGATGCTTTAAACCGGAAGTAGAAACATTTTAAACGTCAACTTCATCCTCTGCTGTTTTTGCCACTTTTGGTGTGCATCCTTCGTGCAGGGTCAGTCATTGTAGCCGATCATTTTATGTAAGTATTACTTAATTGTTAATCAAAATAGATAAGAAGTGGAGCTGTGAAAATATGGAGTAACAATGTTTCATCTGATAAGATATGCTACTTATAAGAGACGGTTGTCATTGCTTGTTTACAGCCAGTTTGTTGCCGTTCTCATACGTGGAGAATTCACTTTTTGAGCGCTTTAAGATCTCGGAGAAAAAAAAGGGATGAGAGTTTGAATGATGTTGTGCTTTAATGAAATATGGCACGTGATGGAAGAGTGAGGGAATGTGTTGCAGTATGTACCCAAATATGTAGAAAAAACAAACACATACTGTATTTAGTCTGTGTAGTAAATGGATCGAGTATTCCCCAGACAATATAGGTGAGGAATTCATCATTAAATACAAACTGCCCTTCAATTTTACCAGTAAGATACATTTGAATTTAGAACCATGCCATGTTTAATCAACGTCCTTGTGTTTTTAGTGAATATATCATAGTGCCAAGAGCGTGCCAATTGTCGACATATTTACAAGCATCCTATTGGTCCACGAGAGCACACTTAAGTCGATATTGCTTCTTCAGCCGGCATCATTGTGGATGTTTTTTTTTTTAACATTGTGGCATCAGTGGCTTTGCATCCGCTTTCATCCAACACGTCCCGTCTTTTGTCCAGAAACATCTGCAGCAGAGATCTCATTGGTCGATGTAGCAGCCAGTCATGTGACAGTTCTGGTGTTGCAAAAACAACATGCCACCCATGCATGATGATATACTGTCGTAGGTGTTTGTGGTGAGGTGTTTTATCGGTGACTCTGATGATGGCAGAGCCGTGTCTATTTTTGTAACGTACTGTGGAGCCGCATCGCTTTTCGGATCATCAGAACTGTTGCCGTGGTGATTTCTGAGACGGGACCGGGTTTCCCTTTATGTCCTGCAAAGCTGATTGTCATTGCTAAATTTCAGGTGCATCAATGTTAATGCTCATCTTCAATTCTGGTGTGCGGAATGCTTTTATTATCTTATTTATGTATTTATTTAGTTTTTTTCCCCCTTATTGACTTTGAAGAACGATTGCTCTAATCGCAACCAGTTTTTTGCACTCCAACATTTGACAGTAAAATAAGTCAAAAATCTGAGCTCCTGTTTATTTTATAAGAGTCAGGATACAACCTAATGCCTTATGACTTGCATCCATTCCTGATCTTCTTCGCGCCAAATCTGACCACGGTCCATGTTTACAGGCTGAAGCACCAGATGGAACATTGTTTTTATATTCTGAAAAAACACATTCAATTTAGGCAAATTGACAACATCGATCGACAAAAATAAAGTGCTTTAAATTAAAATAGAGGATCGAAGTTTATATTCCAAGAATACAAATGAAAAAACGCCTGCTGCAAAATGTTCAATCAACAGATTTAACCTGCAAAAATATGGGCCCTGATGTGCCGACTAGTTCCAACCCACCGGGATGTGAGAGCATCATCAGAGCACTTCACAAGCCATGCAAACAACTCCTGCTGCCCAGAACCAACATGTTCCTAATGACGAGATCAAAAGGTTGTCAGTCTGAATGATGTCAAATCTCAACTGTACTCTATTCTGAAATAAAAATTCAACAATATTTTCAATACACACAATTAACAGTTGTTGTTCCTCTTTTGTTCTGTTTTTATTCATTGTGTCTCTGATATAAATCCGCACTGCAAGAGAAGCTTTGGTTTACACACACACACGTAGATTATTCCTGTAAAGCTCCTCTTAAATGTGTTTTTTTAAATTCAGATTCTGGTACATGTGGACCTTAGTGCTTAGCTTGGCTAATGGCTGCAGGCCCATTACAGTCGAACAACAGCAAGCCACCTGCAGCAAGCATTTAATCCTGATTCTGTGAAGAAGGAAATGCTGACAGGGCTGGATCCAGGCGTCATCATTACACAGTATTGAGGAAGAAGCCCGCTCTTCTGTTGGTGTTGCAGGATATCTGTGGTGAAGAATTCAACACTTCCAGTTTGCCACTGACATACGTGTGCAAGTCAAATATACCCCCAACTATTTAATACTGCAATTCTTGACCCTTGCCTGCAGACTGATAAAGTGCCCAAATATGTTCAACGGTTTAGAAAGAGCAGAGAGGAATGTATAGGACCAGTGTGCTGCCCACTACCCACATACACTACATCATCCTTTTACAGGCCGAGGAGATTGGTTTGTGGATGTCATGTCATAGGTGTTGAGCAAAGTTCCTCAATGCTGAAACAAGTTAGTTCATCGTTTTAGTCACTCATGAAGCAAAAAAAAAAACAGAAAAAGCCTGATAGCATCTCAAAAGTGAGGACTTCCTCTTGTGTAATCATAACTTGAATATCTTGCTTTGCAGTCTTACAGTCTGGGAATGTTCACTTGTTTTATAGAGTAAACAGATAATCCATTCATTTTAACATCTTAATCGATAATAAAAATAATTGTTAGTCGCAGCCTTCACTTCTAGTGGTGGAAGGAATACTTAGATCCTTTCCATTAGTAAAAGTAACAATACCACGAACTGCTCAGTTTATGTGGAAATACTCAAACTCTTTTACTTAAGTAAAAGTAGAATTTGAAAATATACTTTTTAATACAATTATTGGATTATACTTATTGATGCAACTGTGTAAGCATCACTTTAATATTACTAAAGGTGGAGCTAATGCTAGCTACTATTTAATCTATAATAATAATACTTCAGAATGTACTTGTTGGTTATATTTTGTATTAATAATGTGACTTTGCAAAGCAACTGCAGTTGTCAGATACATTTTCCATTTAGCATGCAGAAGTAGAAGTATAAAGCAGCATGGAATGGAACTACTTCACTGTACTTTGGCAGCATTATGAAGTACTGATTTATAGTAGTTGGCCATGTCAAAGTTACACTCAACACATTGCAGAATTATTAAACTCTTGAGGCTACAGTGTCCCAGAGAGGCGGAGTAACATCCTGACTCGTGACTCTGCTGTGGTGTGATGTGTGGTGAGGTAACATTATGTTAGCGTCACCCCAGAGGGAGATCACGGGAGGTTACTGCAGTTGGTGATCACGGGAGGTTACTGCAGTTGGTGATCACGGGAGGTTACTGCAGTTCAAACTCCCCAAAAAACACATTCACGCTACCCGGCTCACAGCGTCTGACTCCAACCGGCCAATCAGCAGCGAGGTCCTGATTTATGATCCTCCTGCGCCAATGGAGGAAGGGCGCGTGAACAATTACGCGACGAGTACATGTGAATTTACATGTGAAGTAAAGATAGACATGTCTGAATGTGAAATCTGGGGACCTGGTAACAAATAAAATAGACATTTTATTTGAGCTTCCGGTCTAAACAGACCCTCGTCAGAGCATTCTGCATTACTAATGCAGTGCAGGCAGGTAAAAAGTCTCATGTCAGACATTGAATGCAACACACCTGTGCACACCCTGGTGGTAAGAAGCTCCACCTCCTGGGGAACTGCCGCCCTATTTAATGCTGAATGGAGTACTGTGAGGCATGCAAATGGGAAAACAGAAAGAGGCGAAACAGTAAATATAGACAAATACACACAACCAGGAAGCACCCTGTAGAAGTAATGTCATCATCTGGTAAATGGGGCTTTTAGAGGAGTCAGGCTTGAGTCATCATTAATCAGAGATTACAAGATCTATATAGTGAATCATTTTCTTCATGCATTATAGAGTAATAAACCATTCATCAGTACAAGGATTAAGTGACCAAAATGTTTTCTTTGTGATGAATAAAGTGTCATGGTCTACTCACTTTCTACTTAGTCACCAATTTTGCATTTAATATTAACAAAGGGATCACAGGTTGCTCACTTTCTAATAAAGCAACAGGACACTTTGTAACCCCCAAAGTTCTTCTTATTAATGACCAATAACCTTTCTTAACCATTAATAAAGCCATATACCCCTTCTGAATAGCGCCTTATTAGGTACATGTATGAATTACTATGTCAGAAGAAATTGCTAAAGCGTCAACATTTTTGGATTTAAGTTTTATTTGAAAAAGATACCGACATGAGTAAAGTAAGCAACGTGGATTGTATAAATATCTGTGCAACCGAAATGGGCACACGGAGGCACTTTACTGCCTTCTGTTGCCATGATACACCAAACTACCCAGCTTTATGTCCAGCTGCAAACCTCAGAATATCACATGTTCTCATTCGTCGGTTCATTTGTGTTGGCATCATCGTACGATCTAATCTAAAACAAAATATTTCAGAGTTACAAAAGGATAAGACGTAGGTGGAAAGATGAGTAAGAGCATCGTTAGCAGGGTGAAGCACAGACGTCAATTCATTCGCAGTTCAACATAAATTAATGTCATTTGTGAAATCAGCAGGGAAAACATGCACACTGAAGAAAGTCTGAAAGTCTCACACAACGTATCAGGAAAATAGCAGTGCTAAGAAATCAAAAATCAAACAGCAACTTGACAATCAGCGTATGGCATCCGTCTGCAGCGCTTTGGCCCAAAGGAACCTCGAGGTAAAATCAACCGGACACAATCCATTACAGCAGGTGAGCAGAACAATCAGTATTTATGCGAGTGTTTCCTTCATGCTTGTTGTGATCGATACACAGTATCGGTGCGTTTTCTCCCTTACAGAAACTACACCGACAGGACAGATAGTAAGATCAACCCAATTTTAATTTGCACCATTGTCACCCCCTTCTGTGGACGTATAGGAGCTGCTATCCCCAGATGTTTTGTTTTAGAGCGCTGCATGTATTCAGTCAAAACTTAAAAATCGAGGAAAAATATGCACCAGTGTGATGTGGACTGAAAACGCAACTACAAACACCGCCTTGATTCAAACTTTGTATATTACACCAAACCGTTGAATTTACAGAATCACAACTTTCAGAATACATTCATTTTATGGTAAAATCACCACAGCAACATGGACAACTCTCTACAAAAATCCACCTCACTGCCCAAATCAGCCACCAGGAAGGAATATGGAGTCATGAAGACCACAATCTGCAATATCATCAGTAGTTATTCTCATCATCATCATCAGGTCAAAAAGAAATAAATACATATATAACAATATGATAACACTGAAGTCTAGTTGGTGGTGCTCCCCTCCCCCCCTTCCAGGGGTTAGACGCCCAGCTTGTTGGCGATGGTCATGACCACTTTGAGGATGGGCATGAAGGCGGAGATCTCGCTGAAGTTGCTGCTGCTGACCACCTGGGTGTGGACCTCCAGACCCCGCTGGTAGTTCTGGCTCGCCACACAGCGGCTGATCTCGTGGAGCCCGTTCAGAATGTTGTGAGAGAGCTGAGACATCGGCAGGGGAAACATTATCGCATGTTACTATGTGGCACCTGATGTTAAGCCTATAGAAAGTCAGAAAATTCACAGTGGCCACAAAGACATCTTCACACTGCATGTTTTGTCTCACCAACAGTCCAAAATGTATGTATATTTTTTTTGCATTTTTGCTGAATTGAATGTTTACGTAGTCTTTTGTTATTGTAATGATTGAAGCTGTAAATAAAGACCTACCCGGCTTTACAGGAACTATGATGTTGGTTAATTCTATCGTCTTTGTCTCGACCGCCAGGAGAAGTGGTTGTTCACTTTTATACTCTGATGTGTTCGTTAAGCTTTAGCTTCCATCTTTATTTTTTTTTGCTGCTGAACGCATTTAGTAGACCTTTTTGTCTTCTTCTCTCTGAAATGGCTTTTTTTGTTTGCCCAATAATTGGGTAATATTCGTTCAGGGAGGGCAGTTAGTGACAGTGTGGGCTCCATGGTAGCTCTGACAGCAGGGGGCGGGGCATAGCGAGTTCTTTGGTCTGGGTAGTAAGAGGATTTTCACTCAACTTTTAACTTTAGCTCATGGCTAAATCATTTTCCTTGATAATAACCTCGTGTGCATGTAATCATTTCTTACCGACTGCTCTCTCAGCTTGTCGTACAGGTATCCCAAACGTTTGGCGGCATCATCAAGTTTCCTTTTTGTTTGCTGAAAAAGGGGAAATATTTGAAGTCATTTTATATGCAATAAACCCCAAACTTTCTCCTAGAATCAATGCAAGACTTTCGATGCAGCCGCACACACTCAACAGTGAGACTTACTGGGTCTCCCGCTGCGAGCTGGCAGCGCTGCACCAGGCTGTCAAAGGTGGATTTGAGGACCACGTGTTCAGCGGGGATTTCTTTCTGCTCCACCCTCTCTGCTGGCAGCTGCTGGAGAAGCTGAGGAAGAAACAAGGACACAAATGAAAAGGTGTTGACAGTGTTTTTGCAGAGTGAGCGATCAGATAACAGCCCCGTGTCACACACCAACCTGCACGCTGGGCTCCTGGGGGGCTCCGGGGGGCACTTGGGCACGGGGCTGAGGAGCCTCCACGGGGAATCCCATCACAGGGGCAGTGATGGGGGCTGGTGGGGTGTAGTTATCAGGGAGCTGTAAGATACATCCAGTCAGGGACAAGTAACACTGAAATCAATCATTTATTTATTGTTTTTCCTTTTGCTACTTTGAGGAGGAACTCCACAACAAGCTGACTCATGTTTGTTAGATGTTGTCTGTCTGGTTTTTGGGGTTGAACAGGTAGCAGATTTATCACAGTTTGCCTCTGCTGCTGGAAACTAGGTTCATGAGAGCACAATCCCATGTCTCTGAGTGCGTGTTACTCTTCATGACCCCTTTCAAATTACATCTAGTCATTAAATTCATGGCTATTAATCAAATATTCATCAGTGCAGCTTAACGAATGCACATTACATAATTGAACTGAGCCGTTGTTGAGTTGAATTATTTAACTTTGCCCACAACTACGACACAGCAAGTTTGATTTGAGCTATGCTAACAGCATTGGTTGTAGACTGGAATACTAAATGAAGGAAACGCATTTTAAAGCAATATTCTAATTAATTATATTTTAAAGAAAATAATACACAGACTATTTTGATGGTGATAAATACACAAATACCTTCTTCTTTCTGGGTCCACCTCGTACTGCTGGTGGGTCGTTCCAGCCTTCTTGGGGTCCTAAATCAGAAGAATTTGAATAGTGACTAGAGGCATTTTTTTTGTGCTCGCACTCCAGCAGTCAAAAATTGTCAGCACAAGACAACCTCTTAGTCGACACGGCAAAAACATGTCAATAAGCCAAAGACTCTAGCAGCTTATGCGGAAACAAAACGGCAAAAAACGGGCAAATGTTCAGGTAGCATCCTAATGATCACTCAACAGTAACAATATCCCAATGCTGAATAATAACAAGCATCTCATGAATATCTTTTGGAGCTCAAACATGTATTTATCAATTGAAAATGTAACAAAATGTCTCCGCTACACCGTTCATATGCTAACTGCTCGACACCTGAGCTTTTTAAAAAACGGAATTCGACAAACTCTCCGTTAAACAAACAGAACAATTATTCTTCAAATCAAAACAAACTTTAAAAAAATAAGACCTACATTGTCTTGATTTGAGACTGGAAGATGTGGTTTTGTTTACTGTGTTTTAAGCTGACATCCATACACGTAGATGAAGTCAACACATTTCCCTCAAGCATACAGCTGCAAAAGCCACAAAAAAATACACTGAGTGACCAGAAAATTAAACTTGTATAATGCCGCGCAATCTAAAACAAAAGTGTGTTTTTGTGTCGTACAGGTTTTTCTCTGGTCACTCAAGTGTATATTCGGATGCACTCTTATTCCATATCCAACCCTAACATTGTCACCTTGATGGTCACACTGGGAATTCAGCCAGGGAAAGAATCCTGCAAGTCAAATGAGGTGGACAGCTGAATATGATTCAATAAGCATCAGCGACAGAGTCCTGCTAACATCTAAGTCTAGCAACATGAGATCTACCTGTAGGAGGAGGAGCAACAGCTGGGGCCGAGAAGGGCTTCACAGCAGGAGCTCCGGGGCCTCCCTGTGGGTACCCCGATCCGAGAGGGGCATAGGGACCGGACGCCATGAGGGGCGCAGGCCCCTGGTTGTGGAGGGTCCCTGGGTACATGGGAACTGGGGCTCCGGGCTGGGAGCCGGGTGGCATGGGGCCCGTGGGTGAAGAGGTAGACGGCATGAAGCTTGTCGGTGGCACCCCGGGGCTGGGCATGGTGAACAGGCCTCCAGGGGTCGATGACGGAGGTGGGAGCCGAGGTCCTGATAAGTTAGGAGCTGGCATGGAAGGACCTGTAGGAGGGAAGCCTGAGGGTCCCCCGACGGCCATAGGCTGAGGCTGGAATGGCTGACGAGGAAGGAAACCTACGGAAGGACAAGTGCCATTAAGTCTAACTATAAAGCAAGGAAGCAAGTCTGTCTGTCCCTCACATAACTCCAGAACCGCTCATCTGATCTAGCTGAGGACCCATGGGAGTGCTTCTGTCAAATTCGGTGCTGGAAGCAGAATCGAACCCGTGTGTATTTCCTTTAGACTAAGTTAAAATCCTGCATTCCTATTTTCACTTCAAATGAAAGCAAGGCCTTAACGGCACAATCTACCTAAGGTTACTGAACTCTGTTCGGAGTTTTCAATTCTAAAAATAAATCGGCCTGAAATACCTGAAAGTAGAATACAACATCAAACCTGGAGCCGAAGCAGGATGTTGAGGGTAGGGAGGCCTCAGGGCTGGGCGGGTTGCACTGGGCGGCAGTACATGAGAAAAAGGCGGCAGACCAGGCCCGGTGTTGGTTGGAGCTTGTGGTGTGAAAAACGACGGCATAGGAGGCTGCTGTTGGGCAGCCTGGGAAGGAGCAGAGGGCTGGTAATGACTCTAAAGTGTGTGGGGTGGGGGAGAAATAATACTATGATTTAAAGAAAAGTTCAAACATCAAACTCGTAAAAATATATGATTTAATGCTTTCGATTGCTCATAAATTTATACCAGATTTTGTGCTTTTGGTGTAGGAGTGTGAGCAGCAGGAGTGGGCTTGGCTGTGGACACATCGACTCTGTTGAGGGAGTTTGGCCTGTGCTGTCCGACGGCAGCCTCTTCCTGAGCGTGGAACAGCCTGTCTTTCAGCATTGTGATCCCAGCCTGGGAAGACAAAATTGTGTCAAAAAACACAACGGTTTGACTTACCCGTTTTTGGGGAATAGAAATGTGTTTGCTGCTATGCCTCTTACTTGGCCTGAGTTCTCAGGCAGGTAGGTCATGGCAATGGCCAGACTGCCCTCGGCAGCCAGTATGCCAGCGTAGCAGGTTAGCTTCTCGGCCAGGATGGGGCTCTGGATGTCAACCTCGCTGTTGCGGAGGCGTTCGATTGACTTACGCAGCATCATTACTTTTTCAACCAGGTCCTGAAAAATACACAGAGACACAAAGGTCACTGCGAGTGCTACATCCTACGCATTTTCAGTGCATGGCACAACAGTGTAGTTAAAAACAGTATTTTGTTGCTGCAAAGCAGAGACAAAAGATTGTACCTCTAGACCAAGAGGGGAGGAGCAGTCTCTATGCAAGGCCCAGCACTCCACTAGCTTCTCAATGTTCCCAGAGCAGATGTAGCACAGACAGGCCTGCAGGCAGCGCTTCTCCGTCCTATCTTGCTCCAACCTACCTCCCAGGGTATCTAGCAAGAAGAATTGCAGATTTAAACGATGTTAGAGACAGAGGGAAGGCTGACATTAGAGCAGGGAGGCCGAGTACAAAGGGAGATTGTTATTCAGTGAGCAAAGCAATTATTCACAGTTTGCCTGGAAGCGAGGCAAGTCGCAGCACGACCGATGTGGGGCCGCACTTGTGAGCAACTTACCGCACAGACGGGCAAAATCTTCAGGGTGAGCATAAGTCAGCAGAGCAGCGAGAGCCTCCTTCCAATTATCTAACTCACAGCTTTGCACTATGTCTCTCCAGTTCTGGGTCACCACTGACGATATGAGCTGCAGTTGAGACAAGACACATTAAACGAAATGCTTTTCCTGTGATTGCACAAACTGAAACAGAATGAATCAAATAAGACTCCTACCATTGAAATGCTGTTCTTTTGCTTGCTTAGGTATTTTTGCTGAGTTTTCTTGAGCAGCTCCTCTCCTCCGCTGATGGACAAGAGGATGCCTTCAGCGTAACGGCCGTCGTTGAGACACAAGTCCACCGCGCCCTCAAAGTTACCGACCAGCAGCGCCTGGCTTATCAAACCATCGGTGTCTTCAAAAGAACGACAAGGTCAGTCATCATCAACACCGAATGCACTTACTTTTCCAACCAATGACATCATTCATTGTGTGTGCAGATGAGGGATTTACCACATGATACAGGGATCTGGAAATTGGAGTTTTCCTTTGGAGTCTGACTAAAGAAGTCTGCCGGTGAAACGGAACCAGAAGTTCTGGCGTCACCTCCAGCAGTAGCCACATCAGACCTCTGGAAATACAACAAAGGACATTTTACAGTAAACAAGCGCCGCAAACTTGGTATGCAAATAATTTAAAAAAAATATGTTTTGAATATAAACATTTTGTGTGCAGACTTGCCGACCTCGGTGGAGAGCCGCTGCATCTTTTCTGCCAGATCTTTGGCATCCACTCCGTGTCCATTGTGCTGAAAACTCTTCCCCAGGCATTTCGAAATCTGAATAAACATATTTTTCTTTACAGCCAACAGGATAAGAGTGACAGTAACAGTAAATGACAGACATCAGCTAATGGCTACATTTATAAATCAGACGGCAGAATACCTTCTTCTCCAGGTCATCTTTGCTAAAACCCAAAAGTCGGAGGAATTTCACGCGGGCTTCATCCTCAAAGTTCACCTGTAAACAGAGAAAGTGAATTCATTAAAAAATGAAATGACACGACACTGACTGTCTCAATGTCAAGAGGACGCGAGGACCCACCAGAAGGAACTTCCATATGTCCTGCTCAGCGTCAGACTTGGCGCTCTGGATCTTGGCCTGGCAGTAGTTGTTGAAGGAGCCCGACTGCAGCGCTGCCTGCAGCTCCCTGGAGCGCTGGAGGAACTCCGTCTCTGTGGTAACCTGGCTCATAAACACTTGTCTAGAGACGGGCTGGGGGCTCTGCACCGGAGGCAGCTTGGGATTCTCAAAGGTTATCAGCTTTCCACCGAACTGGGGGGGGGCGAGACACCAAATCAGTCATGGACACCTTTTCCATTAACATGCTTATAAAACATTCTAATGTTGCACTTACAGCAAAGGAAGCGCCCACAGGCCTGCGCACCCACTTAGGTGGCTTCTTCAGAGGGGAAACTATGGTTTCCTGCACTGCAGGCTGAGGAACTTGCAGGGGGGGGAGCTCCTGTCCCGTACCAAAGGGGTCCATTGAATCAAATGAAGAGGATATCTGATAAATGAAATGTTTGAAGTTAAAAACAAGCTCAACTCTTTGGGATAGAGCTGAAACAATTAAGTCGATTTAGAGAAAATTCATCAGCAACTATTTTGAGAATTAATTAAGCAAAATGTTCACATTTCACTGGTTTTAGCTTCTTAAATGTAAACATCCGCTGGTTTTCTTCATCTTCCATGATTGCAAACTGAGAGTCTTTGGGTTTTGCACTGTTATACAAAAAAATATACCTAAATATTTTTTAGACCAAACGATTAATTAACTGAACTATCTTTCAGATTTAATCTTATACTGGTGTTCATTAGTCGATATCAATCCCTTCACAGATGCGCCATCTTGTGGACAAACAAGGCAGCGCAGCACATAGCTTTCAGGATTAAATACATTAAGAACAGCAACTACCTTATCAGCTGTGCTTTGCTGCTGAGTCTTCAAGCTTCCTCCCATGACAGAGTAGACAGTGATTCTGCCGTCGAAGGAGGCGGCTGAAAGGAGGGCTGGATTCCTGGGGCACCACTGGACATCAAAACACCACTGGTTTGTTGTTGGAAGCTCATAGATGACCTAAAATGAATGAAATGGCACGTGAGAATCCACATCATCGTCACTGAGTCACAATAATGAGGCATGGTTATTCAGGCATAACAGAGAAGCAGCGGTTAGTGTTATATACCTCTCCGGTGTTTGGATTCCAGCAGAGGATCCTGTTGTCTTTAGCACTACTCAGTAGGAGCTCAGAGTCCGCCTGGCTCCAGGATATGGACAGAATCCCCCTGTAAGGAAACACCAACAGACAGTAAATACAGTATATTCTGCAACATGACAAAAAAAAAACTGAACCGAGCAGAAACTGTTCAAGCCTCACCTTGTGTGGTTCTCAAAGACTTTAAGGGGTGAAGTGGCAAAACGGAGGTCCCACATCTGGATGACTGGCATTCGGTCATCTTCAGAGGCCAAAACCAACTGAGTGGCCACATCAGGGTGCCAGAGCATTCCTGAACAGTGCATCTGAAACAGATGAGATTTAGGATGATAAGAGACTTTCTACAAGGTGCAAAATAATCATTTTAATTTTGTCTAACCGGAAACGGCTGAGAAGCTTAAAAATACTCGCAAAATAAATGCTGCAGACAAAGCCTGAGAATAACTGCTTTACAAATGTTGTGGCAGATGAGCCTTAATGATTGATTCATGACAGATAAACTCGGGTAGAAGATAAGTTAGAACTTAACGTAATTTGCATTAAAGCCACAAACCCTGTTGCTGTGGTCACTGATCTTGATGATGGGCTCGTTCTTCCTCAGATCCCACACGACTGCTTTCCCACTGGGGTTGGCAGAGGCCAGGATGTGCTGAACCTGCCTGTTCCAGGACACAACACTGATGTCTTCAGCAGGCTGAAAGAAGAGACCAAGGCTGTTAACTGTCAAAACAAACCCGACTGAGTCCGAGACAAAGAGATATTCAAATGGTATTATAACAATGCTGATAGTGATGTAGGATCAAGATATTTAGCTAAGTCAATTGTTTATATGAAATTGATGAATGGCTTGCTGGGAATATGTTCATTTTATAATGAAAATGTCCATTGTGACACTGCATCATTAACCTCATTGTCTAAGGGAAGATATACAACACAACACATAAAATGGAAATGATAAACAAAACGTTCTTGTGGCTTTTAGTATTAACTCACATACATGACACTACAAAAGGTAAAGAAACAAAAAGAAAACTGCCAGTTGTGGTTTATATTTTGTGCATTGACTCACAACAGACATGTGTGAACTTCACCAAACTCATGACATCTCAATCACACACACACACACCTGCGTCTTTGCTCCTGGTGTCATTGGACTGTTGAAGTTGTTCAGATCCCAGATATATATCTCTGAATCATTTGCTCCTGAAGCGAGGAGATTACTCTGGCAGAGGAAAAATTGAGAACGATTAATAATGTGTATAGCAGCACCAGGAAAGTGAAGTCTTCCATATAAACTGTCTCTAAAGACACAAAAGGTTTCCCTCAAAGACATTTACCTGAAAAGGGTTGAAATCGAGTGCTCGGATGGGTCCTGTGTGTTTGTCAGACTGCCCCACTACTGCCTCTGCACCGCCGCTCATTATGACCTCTGGGTTGTATACAGTTAATGTGCCATTTTCACTGCCACCGACCAGTCTCCCTCCAGTACCGTCTGCTCCCATTCCAAAATTCACCCATACGATACTGTGCAACCTTTGGAATAGGAAAAGTAAAGTGAGTTATTTGTTACAAATGGCAAACTCAAAGCCAAAACTAAAGTGCACTTGGTGTTTCGGTGAGCAATCCTCTGTATACTTCTTTAAATAATATGTTTAACTGTCAAACAGCCCATAATGTATTTAAAAAAAAAAAAGAGAGAGAGGGAAAGAATACAACATGTATTTAGTATTTGAATTTGGAATGAGCCATGAATTATTTTAAATCTGGCCCAAATAGTTTGAAGTGAAGCCACATCCCTTCTCTACAGTGGGCTGATATGGACAGAGGTAGCATCTTGTATCTTATTTGTGTATCACCTCTATAATGTACCTGTTGGAGGTGGGTAATGACCCTTTGAGCTGCATGTCCAGAGATGGATCTGAGAAATCCACCTCAAATATCTCCAGGGCAGCTGTGGTGTTGAAAGAGGCATCGAGCTGCTGTGCTGATGTTCCTAAGGCCAGGTGGATGGGATGGTGTTCGGCTGGACTCCACGCTTGGTGGGCAGTCCTCTGGATCTCCTTCAGCCTCATATTCCTCAACAAGTTTCAAGTCCCGGACAGACGAACGGACTCCACTACATCAAAGATAATACACGTAATTGACAATTGGTGTGGATTAACAATACACTGTTAGATACCTTAAATACTAACTTCTAATTTAGCTCCAACAAGGTGCCACCCTGACAGCTTGTCTCCGACTATACCCTGAAACTAACCCGATATGTATCAGCTAGTTAGCTAATGTTAGCATGTCGCAATTGCGGCTCTAAACACGTCTCGAACACTTTTACTATAGCTGATAACATTGAACACAGATTATCTGATGGCCGCCATTACCTAACAATCACTCCAGTAGTTTAAATGGATCCGCTAGTTTCTTATTCATGCCACTACATAATAATTCATATGAGCTAACAGGTTAACGTCTGTTCCAGTGCATAACCGGAACCGATGCTGCTTCTAGCTAGCAATCAATGTTACAGCCACCACCCTTGCCTCCATATCTCAACAGAAACGCTGTGTCAGACACGTTTAAGCCCAGCAAAGAAAATATATACATATATGGCTTTGATAGTAACTCACATCAACTGTCTTTATCACAGCCTGACTGTCCGCATCCACTACAAACTGGAGCGCTAGCTACTTCTCAGCAAAAGCTAGCAGCTTAGCCGCTGGCGGATTTCGCTCAAAGTACTTTGCCGTGTTGTCACTGAGCTACGGTAGCCGACAGGGACATTTTCATATGGTAGTGGCCTAAGGTAACCCCGACGTCACCGTTGACCCAACAAAAAAATAGTTCTGTAAATTGTATGTAGCGTGCTTTATAACGACGGATCAAAGAGTTGTGAACTTGTTAAGTTGTTAACTATTTGACAGGTTGACAGTCTTTTTAAACACAAAACAACAGCAACACATTGAGGAATGTAACTTAATACAAGTCTTTATTTTTGACAGAAATATATATACACAAGTAAGAGTCAGATTGTAGTCATTAGATTTTATAATTTTTGACTTCCTCTGGTTGTTTTTCCGGATCTCCTCCTTTCTCCAAGTACAGGTTGTTATAGGGATACTGTTTCTCCGCCTGGAAGAGAGACAAACGCTTTTATTGATAACGTGCATGTTATTAAATAGAGAACACAATCCAAAATCATCTCATCCACAGGTGGCACAGCACTAAAAATAAGACATTCAAATACTAGGGGCGATTAGGTAATATAAAGAAGGGGAAAAACAAATAATTCATTACACTAGAGGGTGAAATAAAGTCAATCTTGTTGCTTTTAAAATTATTGATTAATTGATGAGGTGACTTCACATCCCATTAAAATAGAATGTAGCAGAAATAAATAAAGCCAAGCATTGGTCTGTACTTACAACAGGTTGATAAGATGGTAATTTCTCCCCAACGTAGAACATAAACAGCATGAACCCGATGAAACCAAACAGTTGTTTGCACATCGTGGACCAATCCACAGGACTGGGAGATGTATCCACACGGTTCCTGATGAACATGTCAAAATCCCAATGCATCTAAAGACGGAGAACAATCACTGATTAATAGGGATTCTTATACTGTAATGTATATACTGTAATAACTATGTTGTCATCTAAGTGAACATATGATTGTACAGAGGCACTGCCTTGAGTAGAGTCTGTACAATCAAGCTGATCTGAATACTGTCTAAATATCCCAAAACAATTGTGTCTATAGAGAACAATTATATACTGTGCACTTAAGAAATACGTTTTTTATGTTGTTATCTATACAACTGTCATAATCTTAAGCTACAATGGTGTATCCGCACATTCTAGACAAAATTATAAATGCACAATCTTTAGAAATTATACAATATTATGTAGGTGCGATGTCGCTTTAGTGCAGTAGCAATACAATATAAACACACATAACGTTAAACATTACTGATATGGACATTGTGGGACATTTTTACTTATGGCTGTCACTTAGAAATTGCAATTGTATTTGTTACGAGGCCCTGGAATGCTCATTCATGGGTCACAAGTATGGTGTTAGTTTTGATAAGCGAAACATACCAGAATGAGCAACAATAACATGATTTCATGTTGAAAATCATGTTTTAAATTTCATGGAACCAGCCCATGTAATGCAATTTCTTGTTACTTGTAGCCTGATATGTATACCAATGCTGATATATCGATGATAAACTCAATATATATGGGTTGCACAAGTGAACCTGATATCACAGCAAGTCATTATTATCTTACCGGCTCTCCCCAGTTCCTTCTCAAGTCAGGGTGGTCCCACTTGTACCAGGGGTCTCTCTCATGCTGAGACCTTTCTGGTAACTTTGGATAATCACCAAAGCTGCAAAAACACAACGATGGCAGTTAGTTAAACATGACATGTACTGACTTTATTACCCGGTGATTCACGCAGTGGTGATGTATCAGCCAAGCATAACAATACATGAGCTGAACATTACTTTTCATAACAGCAGAGAGACCAGAGGACGGGCATTTTATTGTCAAAATAAAGCTCACCCCTCGCCGTTGTCGGGATATGGCTCATAGTCCTCAACCCTCATGTTGTACTTCTTTGCAGCAGCAGCTTTCTCCTCGGGGGACGTCGGGCATGGTCCAGGTAGACCACTCTTTGACACACCGGAGGCTGAAACACAAACGATTGCACGATTGTTATTCTTTCCGCCATCTCCCCGTGGATGTGTAAAGAGCTTCACACTCATTCAAAATAGCCGTTGCGATAGCTAGCAGAAGCTAACGTTAGCATGTCAAGGTTACGCTCATTCGAGGCTTTAAACGTTAAACTCTGACACGTATCTAAAGAGAAATGTATCAGAACGAAAGCTATAACAGTACTGACCTGCTCTACATCCCGACAAAAGGGCTGAAATGCCAGGACCTTTTCCTTTAGAGAGAGCCTTGGCCCACCGTCGGAAACCAACTCCAGCCATGTTTACTGGCTGCTGCTGTCCGACAGACTAGGAAGTACGCATGCGCAAGATTGGAAGTAAGGGTCTGTGTAAGGACCAATTCATACTAAACATAAATTAACAAATGTAACTGCTGCGTGTGCCATTCAACCTATTAACAAAAGCAATAATGGGAGTGACAACAAAATCGACTACTAGAAAATGTCTTTTATAGTGTTTTTATTCATTTATATTTATGTTTGAGTAGCAGACACCATCATATTAGTGAAAAATTTGGCAGTGACATGCAAACTCCTCCAGTAGCTGAAGGGAACTCGGCCTCGGAGTGAATGCACTGAAGCCCCGAGGCCTGTTCCTCTTCCCATCAGATCCAGCTCAGGTGCACGAGTGCATTTACTGGGGGATCGTCACTCTGCCACCGGTGACAAATTGGAGAAAATCCGTCAGAGAAGATCTGCTATGTCCTTCTCCACATTCTCAATGGGGCAATGAAGTTCATACCTGCAGTAAAGGGAAAACATTAGAGCCACTATTATGTATGACCTAATGAAGGGCTGATTTGGTTTCTAACTTGCAGTCCATAATGTACAACTTCACCTTTTGAAGAGCATGCCATCTGCCGTAATTAAGAACTTCTCGAAATTCCACCGAATGTCATTGACAGTGATTGGAGACCAGTAGAATTTCTTCATATCTCCAATAACAGGATTCACAAATGGCAACAATTCCTGTGACAGTACAAATATACTCTATAACTAAAAAAAATCATGAACTAATTTTATACATTCATATACTGTGTAAAAAACCAACACTACCTTTAGATAGGTGAAAAGAGGCTCTTCATTCAATCCATTCACCTCAACCTTCCCAAAGACAGGAAACTTCGGCACAAACCCACCACCAGGTCTCACATACTTAAGAATGCTGAGGGTTTCATGATTCCCCTCTGAAAAGATATAAGTACAATATTTCATTACTAATGAGTTTTCAACTTATGCTTCAGGAAAACCTGTGTGTATTCATAACTTCAAAATAACATGTCAAATGTTTACCGCATAGCATGTACATCAGACAAACCAATTATGTATAGAGGTCAGTTGTGGAAAAAGTATTCAGATCCTTTAATCAAGTAAAACTACCGATACATTAATGTAAAAATCCTCCATTACAAGTAAAAGCCCAGCATTCAAACCCCTTCTTCAAATAAGTATCAGCAGCTAAATGTACCCAAAGCACCGAAAGTAATATTCATTCCTCTGTGACTGATTTTTATACAAATATTTGCTGGTCTAGATGGAGCTAGTTTTTACTTTATGTACAGTTGGGTAGTTTAGTTCAGTGGTTCTTAGATGTCGAGCCCCTCCAAAATTTCACACAATAAATCTGAGGGGTCATAAGTTGATAAATGGGGTAAGAGGAAATCACTCTTTGACATCTGAAATGTGACAATGGGCTCCAACCAGACAGTGCTTTTTTTTGTAAGGGGTCACAAGCCAAACGGTTTTTAAATCATCACAGTCATCTTTAACAATGTATTGGATTTTATAAGCTTGTCATATGTTATTTAATTTACAACCTAGTAAAACATAGCTGACAATTAAATGGAGTAAAACGTACATTTCTCTCTCTAAGATAAAGCAGAATAGAAGTATAAAATAGCATGAATTCTAAATCCCTTAACGTGCCTCAAAATTCTTCTTAAATACAGTACTTGAGTAAATCCACACAGTTACTTATGTAGAGTACAGTATTCTTCTCGCACACGAGGTAAATAAAAGCATCAGTGTATACCCACCAGGTGACTGGAGACCGAATTGGTTGCTGGGGAATGATAGGACAGTGAAGTTGAGGTCGCCAAACATTTCCATCAGTGCATTCAGTCGATGGTACTGAGGGAACAGGACACAAAATCAGATGGCTTTAATAAAAAATGACAGCACAGGAGATGTTTTATGAGACAATGTGATCTGGCTGCAATCAATCAGTGCTCTTTGTAGAATATTACCTCCTCTATTGTTGACCCTCAGAAGGTGGCAACGTTGATGATGAGAAGCACTTTACCTCTGTAGTTACTGAGCGAAACCAGCTGTCCATCCAGGGTCTCGACAGAGAAATCATAGATTGATTTATACGCCATGGTTGTACTTTAGTTTGTATATGGGATTGTAGTCAGTCAAGAGTGAGTATTCACTCGGCTATCCTGTTGGCTCATCTCATTCACTGAAATATAACTCATGGGTCAGCAGTTGTTCAGCATGACTGACTTCATTGTTCTCCTGGGCAGAGGTGAGCTGGCAGGATGGTCATTTGTTCAGCACACGTGTTCCAGGAAAATAGGCTGCTGATGTGGTGACAGCTAATTCGCTTTGGGAAATTAAAGATTCAAAATAAACATATATGGGTCACGCTCATTTTGGTTGCATCCTTTCCTCTTTAGAACTCACACATTCAGCAAGAAGTTTAACATTAGGAATAACATTCAAGAATGTATATTTTGTTCCAAAGTCTGAAATCACAGTCTAGATTTACTGCACAAAACAATAGGCACAGTTCTGCTGTTCAAGTTCAGCAGCACAGGAGGTTCTGGTCTCCTTCAGCATGCTTTCTCCTTCTCCCACTGGTCACGTTCAGTCTTTAGCTCCTCCTGCTGGGTCGCCATCAGAGCAGTCTGGAGCTTTTGGCTCTCCATCTTCTCCTTGCCAATTTGACCCATAAAGAAGGTTCTGGTCGCCTTCAGCAGGGAGGCTTTCTCCTACTCTCACTGGTCACGTTCAGTCTTTAGGTGCTGCTGCTGGGTACGTTTTTTTGACAAGTTTTTAATTAGAGTTATGAATACCACAATGTAGAAATACATACACTACTGCATAGACTTTGTATGTAATCTACTCACGCCGCGTTTAGTGTGAACATGGGTTACGGTATTAAAGGGCGTAAAAAACAAACTTTAGCCTGTTTTATTTGGGGTTTTGAACATGTTTTATGAATCTCTGAAATGACAGTGAAAGGGGTGCCAGTCAGTTGGTTCAGAGTAAAACGTCTTGAAAACTTTTTTTATTTTTTCATGATCGCTACAAACAGGTTTTCTCACCCAAAACCTCTAGAACAAATGACAATAACCCTGTAATATCGATACAACATTTCAGTTATTTTATAATCGTAAAGCAAATATGTAAATTGATTTAGCATGATCATGACGTAAACCCGGAAAAACAACTGCTGCGTTCATATTACTCGTAAACGCGTACGTCCATGATCCTATGAGACATAAACACCACTTCTCTGACATTAAAGAAGCATAGTTTTGATCGTAAATGACAGCAAATGTACTGCCTAAAAGGGTGGTGGTAGGTTAGCTGTTGATTTATGGTAAAAAAAAAAGTCCAGAGGCGCATCATTGTGTAATTGTATGGTTCAATTTGCATATTAGCATACAAGGTAGCAATAAGAGTATGTATTTGTGGCTTCATCACTTTCACCATGAATTTGTGGCTTTTGTCTTCCCTTAATGCCACATTTGTCAGAATGTATTTCGTTTTTACAATAGTTAACATTAATGTGCCATTCCGATCTCGATATAAAGTGTTCTGATAGTCCCTGAACGCAGCATTTTGTTCGGGTTACACCTTAAACGCTTGAAAGATGCTAAAGGAAAATACGTTATTTTGGCACCTATGTGAAGAGCAACGCGTCCTTGAAAACTCCGTATAACAAAGTTGAGTCAGAATGGACGAAGAGGCCAAGATGCGAACGTAAGTTCCTTTGAAAACGGGAGTTTTGTGTTTTAAAAGCAGCTGGATTGGTGGCCCCAGCAGGCTAGCTTCTCAGCTAACAGCGGTAGCAACAACAACCAAGTCACTGTGGGATGTAGCTTGTTGTCGTTACTGTTACACCTCTTCATTCATGGCCGCTAACTTGAATTATACATCACCGTGACAGGGCTGTTACTGTCTTTATACTTGCTTTCTCAGACGTATCGCAACATGTAGTGTTTCTGATTGCTTTGAGCTTTGAATGCAGTGTCAAAGTTCAGCAGTAAAACAAGGTTGCATTTCTTCAGCAGATGCCATCTTTTGGACTTGCCCTGGGAGGATGTCCTTGTTCCACATATTTTATGCCATTTGCCACTGCAACACCTCGTCAGCCTGCAGAGGGTGAGCAAGCAGTTCCACAGCCTCATCCAGGTGTATCTAGCCAACTGCAGGACTTTTGACCTGTCCTCGGTAAGTCCTCACAAGTGAGAGTTTGAATTGCCTGTATATGTTGAGATGTTTGGCGATGGAAGTCTGCTATCTGCTCTGTTGTGATATTTACAGATTGGACCATCCATTTCCAAGGAAGCGTTTTGCTCCATGTTGAAGGACAACAAAGTTCTCCACAGCCTGTCTCTTCAGAGCTGTTCGGACTGGGTGACGGACAAGGAGCTGCTGCCAGTTATCGGCCAGAACCAGCACCTGCAGAGAGTGGACATGAGCGGGTGTGTTTGGCTCACCCGCCACTCCCTGGTGGCGGTGTCCTTGAGCTGCATGCACCTCCAGCGCCTCGGCCTGGCGCACTGTGAGTGGGTGGACAGCCTGTCCCTGCGCAGCCTGGCGGACCACTGCGGGGGGCTGCAGTCGATAGACCTCACCGCCTGCCGCCAGCTCAAGGACGACGCCATCTGCTACCTGGCCAAGAAGTGTTTGAAGTTGAGGTCTCTATCTTTGGCAGTCAACGCCAACGTCACTGACGAGTCGGTGGAGGAGGTGGCCAAGAACTGCAGGGGCCTGGAGCAGCTGGACCTGACAGGTTGCCTGCGGGTCAGGAACCAGTCCATCAGGTATGTCATATCTTATTTTCAAGTGTAATCCAGCTAAGTTTGTGCCACCCCTGCCTGCACTTTTACATGCACCATCTCACTTGTGCACCCGTCCATAAGATCCTCTGCATGCTGTGCTCACAGGACTCTTGCAGAGTACTGCCCGAAGCTGCAGTCCCTGAAGGTGAATCACTGCCACAATGTGACAGAGTCGAGCCTGGATCCTCTACGCAAGCGCAATGTAGTGATAGATGTTGAGCCGCCTTTACAGAGGGCTCTGGTGCTTCTTCAGGACGTGCTGGGTTTTGCTCCCTTTATCAATCTCCAGATATAGCCGAAAGGCGTCAAGTCATGTGCACACAGGTAGGCAACAAGAGCAGTATATATGAGCTCCTGACGTGTTTATATCCAAAACCCAAATTAATTAAGTCTATTTGCAGAAAATACAAGTGGTGACAAACATTTGTAATCAACATCTACTTTCCTTTGTTACAGATGTCCTCATCAAAGCAGTCACTCTCAGCGGCATCACAGGTGCATGCGAGTGGCTCCAAGAAACGACCAGACAGTCCAAGAAGATCTGGATGAAAAAACCTCACTAGAATGTGATTAAAAATAACGTTTACGTCTGACAATGACTGAAGAAAGCCATGTAGTTTTAAGAATTGCTGTCTCGTGTCTAAAAGATGTCACTGCACTATTACTTAATCATTAAGTGTTGTAATAATGTGGCTTTATAGAAAAGCAGTTGTAACTGAAGTAGAGTGTATTGTTTTGTACATACTTTGTGTGCATTTTTAAGAAACATCTATCTTATGTTTCATTTAGAAACATTCAAAATAATGTTTGAGTTTAATTAAACATTTCATTTTTGCATGTATGTGCCAGTTTAAATGATAAATGTACCCAAATCATGCAAAAACATGTTCTCACTTTCGGGTTTATGTGTCCAGGATTTCATTGTCTTCACTACTGATGTTCAGCTGCCGCTACAATACAATGAAGGAGAATGTGGTGCTGACAGTTTGTCTTCCAGATACAAAGTCCTGGCTCCTCACAATAATCCACCGTCCTCACGGTCTACACTTTCTAACTGCTTTCAAATAAAAACTTTCACATCAAAACTATCTGCATGGCTATCAGCCACCAGAGATTAGTGGGAAAATGTTTATACGTTTTCTTCTGAAGCTACCTTGTAATTTATACTGTTAATAAATGCATACTTGTATAGCGTAGTATTTGTATACCCTTGACATGATTTCAAAATAAGTAATCCTGTACTGAGATGCTGTTGCTCAGTAATACAGTATATGAATTATAAACATAAGAAATCTTAATTGCAAAATACCATCAGAAATGATTGTTGTCACTTCTCCACTTTATAAATCTGATGTGATGTAACATTAGGATGAGTAATCGCACTTCTTCTCTCCTAATGCCGATTCCAATACTTAATTTATCTGAAATGCAAAACCTCCATTACTGAATTAATGTCACTAATAGCAAAACAATCATTGGATTTTATGACGACATTGAAGAAGACACTTTATGTGGATTGGTGGAGTTAATTTTGTCCAAACAAGTGTTGAATACGGAGCTTAAAGACAAAAAAATACTCTGAAAGTACATGTTACATAGTTTTAGGCAAATAAAAATAGTGACCCAGGCCTCCTTTTTATTTCAGCTTCTTAATCAATGAAAATGAGAAGAATTTGTATCTGTAACCTGGCGTCAATAATAGGATTTCTTTCATTCCTACACATCCCTTGATTGTCAAGCATAAGAGGCTCCAGTCAAAGCATTACAGCGGTGAAGTTAAAGACGTTCACCTCTTCACAGATGTTTTGTGACTCAAAGTGACACAAGGTGGCAGCAGTGAGTCAGGATACGTGTCTGTTGTAATTCTGCTGTTTGTGAGGCTGCATGACATCCAAACTACAGTCCACTCAGGAACAGAGATGGTCTCCAATGTGAAATATGTCAGACCACAGTGTCGGGTGTGTATTTTTCTCTTAAGATTTAATCTTAACGTCTGACTCGTTGGACAGATTGTGAAAATACACAGCTTTATGATGTTTTTAACACTTGATGCAGTGAATGCACAATACGCGTTAATGCTTCCCCTTGTTGCTACGTGTTAAAAAGTCCCTCTTGCAGTTTCCTCTGGTGGTCCGATTGGCAGACTATATTGCATCTTGCCTGTGTGACAACACAACAGGTCTATTTTCCACTTGATGGCACGGTTTAGCCCATCTGCTGCGTGCTGTCCACAAAGCTGAATGTGCACCAACAGAGAGTTGTGTTTGGAGGGCTTCAGGGATCGACCAGCATCCTTCTGTTAGCTGTGCTGATCGTCATATTGTACCGCTGGGCCTCCGAGGAGACATCATGGTCTCATTAGTCATAAGGTAAAATCTGGAAATGTTCCATTTGTAAAGCAACTCACGCTGCATATCATGCAATAAAACACCCATATTTACAAAAATGCAGCACATTTTAAGCAAGAATAAGAGAGTGAAGAGTGGTTAGCATGAGGGGGAATTAAAATGTACTGTAAGAAACTCACTGAATTAGAAAACTAACTTCTCTTATCTGTATAGTATAGTTAGTATAAATAACATCGTCAGTGTTCAGTGGCCCAACAGTGGCCCTTCCTTGCTGCTCAGCAGTCAGCGGGTTAAAAATGTTTCAGACTACATTCATCATGTAAGACCTCAATTAGCATTGATCTGCAGAGGGGGGAAAGAAACATAGCTGCGTTATTATATACCATGGAGCAATTTCTGTTCCAGTGATTGAGTGTATGGGGGGATTTCTCAAACATAACCGGCCTAACATATTTTGTCTTCCTTTCAATAATCTGGCACTTGTCTAAACTATTGATCAATAGCAACTGATCATTTTATACCACGGCACAACAATGAAGTAGGTCCATTTTATTCAGTTTGCAGTCTTAGCCCCCGGGCAGCGGGGTAATATACTGTACTTATTAAAAATACGAATAAATCTAAATTTAATCTCTGGCTGCTTTTAAAGTCCTCTGTGACAGAGTAACTTATGATGCTGTTCAGAGGCTCGTGAGGTTCATTCATGTGTGTTGTGGCGGCTGGTTCACAGAACAAGAGCTTTGTAGTCCTTCTAAAAACAGGTCTTCTTCACGGCAGACATTTTGACTTGACATGGTAGAAAAAGTACAGGTGTAACTAATAACATTAACTGTTCTATGCAAGTGGAGCTGATTGGAAGTTGTTGAGGTGGGGGAAAGGGGCTGGATCATATGTTTTATTTCATAAAAAGCCCGGCCCTCCCAAGCATTATTAACATTTTATATGGACCCTGTTATGCTTTGTTTTGGCAAATAAAACTGTAAATAACTCCAGCCGTTTCCTGTTTTGATTATGCTAGCTGCTAAAGGTTATGACAGCCAATGAGTAGCAGCTTTGTGCCTGCTGGACTTGAGACAAATATATGTTTTGGCCTTTTTAAATTAATAGTAACATAGAATTATAACAATATAGTGTTCATAAAGCGTAAGGTTCTACTTTTAAACAGAAGTTGACCTTATATCCACAGGTCAACTGTCTTCTGTCACAAAGCATCAGAGTCAAACAAGAGACTTGAATGTTACTTCAGGCAACCTGTAAATACGACCAGATTTAATGAAAACCAACATAAATAAATATACCTGGGGCAATTTTCATGTAACATTAACCAACTGTATATTAACTTCCCTTTTTGTTATTCGTATGCAAAAATATTCTTTTTGTAAAATACAGATCCCGCTCACAAAAATAATCTGAAATTGGTTTAGGCCACTGTTAATTAAATGATGTTCACATAAGCTGGAGAGAGAATTACTGTAGCTGTTCAGATGGGCCCAAAACTGTGTCAGAGATTTTGTTCATTTTCATATTTTTAATTAACAGACTTTTCCTCCCGTCGTCCATCAGTGAGTGAGTCTTTCTTTCGTTCATTTGATGTAGTTTATCTCCTCCAACCATTCATATACAACCTTATTGGATCCCGCGACTTAGGGATCCATCCTTTAGCCACCAGAGAAGCATAACTAATGACAACATTAAAATGGCTTTGTGAGCGTGGCCATCAAAATTTTGATCAACCAAGCAAGAAATAATGTTGAATTTTAACATCGGCATGAATAAACATGTGTGTTAACAATCTGGTGAACTAAACTGGTAGGGTCTCAATATAGGCAGATTTTTCTAGGTGTTGATGAACTGATGAACAAATGACCTCTTCAGGGTTCATATGTGTGTCATGGAAGTGAGGCTTTAATGAAAAAAAAAAGATTCAGGCCAAGTGCAGTTGTGTCTTGTGAGTGGAATGAATGGCGATGACACACAAGACGTTTTCAGGGTGCCGTCTAATTGAAGCGACATTTGAAGCTTTAGGACTCATAACTGTCAGATTTGTCTAATTACTGTCTAATTACTGCGCTCCTAACCCCAGACTGGACAGGAAACACACGGTCAGCCAGTTGCTCACATAGTTTATGAATGAATAGAGGATGTTGGCATCATGTGACTCACAACTATTCATTGCTTGGGTGAAGAATGCGTTGGCCCAGTTCTTGTTTGGGAGTTTTACTTTTGAGGGTCATTTTGTTTGATAAAGACAATTTGCAAAAAATATAATGAGATAATGAGAATAATCATCAGTTGAAGCCCTAGTGTTGCAAATATGAGCGTGAAAGTGACACTTGAGTGATTCTCTTTAGCAGTTTGCTGTTGTAAAATTATAGTTTAAACTTTAAAATACACGGTTAGACATTTTGTTGGATTTTTATAATGAATGAATTACAATAATGTTGCCAGTGCGTTCATTGCAATCGTCCTCTTAAAGTAGCTTTGCTGTAACGTGAGTTAATAAGACACCCTTACTGTCGCAGAATGTTGCTGTAGAAGTTTGATGTTGAATTGTGATTTTACAGTAAACCACCTATCAGACACAAATTTAAACTCAAATGAACTGTGTAATTGTCTGCATTGATTTTTACAATAAAATTGTAAGTACAGTATTGTATTGTGAAATATCACACTTGAACCCTGTGAAGTGATAATAATGCAATCTATTTTGAAATATTATAGTTCTTGTGAAATGCAGTAAATAATCACGAAGCAGTTGCTGATCAGTTAATGATTCACTTCATTGTCTCACTTCATTTCCAAGTCATGGTTCTTCTGTTGCTCTAAAGCGTTCCTCCACTTTCTCAGCGTTTATTCCTGCTATTAAAGAGGTGACCTTCCTCCTGCCAAGCTTTCTGCCACCCAGGCTCGAGTCCCGACCAATTCTGAGAACCCAGAGGCCACGTTTCTGTAGCTATACGCTCAATTTGCCTGCAATATCAACAGACTAATTTACCTAAAGGAGAGTATGTATACAATAAGCATGACAAGGATTCATCCTGGCAGGAGCATTTTGCCCTCTGACTAATCTGGGCTGCTACATTGTAAGTAACTGTGTTGAACTTGTGTCCTCCAGCCAGCAGAGATCAGAGTTCAACATTCTGCCATAATCACAGATCACATCTTGTTACGCGTGGTGGACACTGAAAGATGCTGGAGCCTATCTCATCATTTACTTTGTATGGAGACTAAGATCTGACAAAGAAGGACAACTCTAAATCACTGCACAGTGGTTAGAGGCTTGCATTGTGCTCCTCACTGTGATTTAAACTGTAGACCATCGACGTCTGTGGATGGGGATATCTATAGAATGTAGTGAATATGATCATTTGTGGTGGGATATAGTCTCCATGTTTGACGGCATAATTAGATTATTGTCAGCTGAACTATTCAAAAAATCTAAACCTCTGAAGTATTTGACAATAGTTGCCTCCTTTGTCTCATGTCTTCTGTGCTGCTTCACTGTCTCGAAACTCTTAGTATTATTTGACAAATGGGGAACAAATAGCAAAATATGTGTTTAGTACATGTCTCGGCACGTAGATTAATGACATTAACGGAGTTTCCATTAGCACAGCGATCGGGGGAGACAGAGGCGTCCATGCGTAAATCCACATGACTGAATCACTGATAAGAGAAAATGAAACACATCTCTATGGGCCAAGAGGGGCCAGGAAAACGCCACTCCAAATTAGCCCGCGGCCCAATTTGTTGTTACTTCATTAACGGACCAGCATCTGTAGAGCAGGGGAGGGAAGTTGTGACCCATCTTTTTCCTAAAAAATAATAAAAAAATCCTCTTCTGCCTTCACTGGGCCTCTGAGAATAAGAGGACCCCTGTGCAGAAAGGCAGCTGGGGGAGAGGATCAGCATGGCACAAAGGGACAGGCGCTCCACCAGCCATGTATTGTGCACAAGAAGAGTTTCATCTGGTTGTGAATCCCCACCATAAAAAAGAAGATGGAGCATGTCATCATGTTAGCAAGGAGAGTTTAATTCAGCTCAGGTCAGACATGTGAGCAAAAGTCTCTTTTCCAGTGTTTTTTGATCCCAAATATGTCTGAACAGCGGCTCAATGGAAAGAATGAATGAATGTATATATGTATGTTTGTATGTATGTGTGTGCGTGCGTGTGCGTGCGTGTGCGTGCGTGTGTGTGTATGTATGTATGTAAGTGATTTATTTTAAGAACAATTCATTGATAATTTCTTGAAAATATTTAAATGTATGTAAACGTATAAACAGCATGTATGTACATATTATGTGTGAAAAATCCCATAAGAAAATATATGCCAAAAATACTGATATATGAAGCAAAAATAAATGAAAAGCTAAAACTTTGGAATTGGATGAATGCCGTAAAGCTGCAGCACATCAGGCCTGAAGTGGATCAGTGGAGTTTCAGGTGTAGCTGAGGGGCCTTTTCTGCTCTTATCTGCTGATGGAACTGGCTGTCTAGGATGACTAGTTTCTTATCTTCCACGGCCCACTAATATCCACAGGGGACCAACACCGTTTGGCACCCTGAAATCCTTTTTCCTACACCGGATGGGAAATCAGCCTGGGTGGATCAGAGGGGGCTTGAGACATGGATGCCATATGGCCCCTTTCTTATTCTCTGTGGAGTGCGTGCCTTTGGGATGCCCAGCATCTGAACGTACACAAGAGATCTTGACAATATGTGCTTTGACAAAG